CTCGTTGGAGGCCAAGATTGCCAAACTTCGTCTCTCATACTTTGGACATATTGTCAGGAGGTACCAGTCACTGGAGAAGGATATCATGTTTGGTAAGGTGGAGGGTCAGAAAAAAAAGGGGAAGACCCCCAATGAGATGGATAGGCCAAGTGGCAATATTGATGGACTCAAGCATGGCAACAGTAGTGAGGTTGGCCCAGGATCAGGCAGTGTTTCGTTCTGCTGTGCACAAGGTCACTATGAGTCGGTACTGACTCACCTAACAACAACAGTGGTGTGGCTGGTGTGATGCTGTGGGTTAATATGCTGGACTGCAATGTCAGTTTGAACCTCAAGGTTGATGGTTCATGCTCACCAGCCACTCCTTGGAAACCCTATACAGGGTTGCTATGGGTTGGAACTGGGTTGATGGCACATAACAACAATAACAGTGGTGTAGTGCTGTAGGATCAGCACTGGACTTTGAACCACAAGGTCAGCAGCTCAAACCCACCAGCTGCTCTTTGGAAACCCTATACAGGGTCACTATGAGTTGGAATCAACTCTACAGCACTTAACAATAACAATCTTTACAGACAGATCCCAGGTCTTTCTTCCCTGGAATCACTGGATGGGTTTGAATTGTCAACCTGTATGTTTGTACTCACTCTCTCCTTGTAAGATAGTTTATGATAAGAAAAACTGGGGGGGAGGGGTCTTGGGGGGGAGAAGGCTGTGTATGGAAAACTCTACTATATGCTCAATTTTCCATTAAGTTAAAAATCTTCTAAAAAATAAACCTAGAAAGGGGGAAAAAGAGTGGAAAGATAGACAGGTTAGCTGGGTCTCTCTACTCCATTTTATTTTCATGCCGAAATTATAATATGATTTTGTTGTTGTTAAGTGCCATCCACTCATAGTGACCCTGTATAGAGTTTCTGAGGAGCGCAATGTTATCCATAGCTTGTCATGATCCATACAGTCAAAAGTCTTTACATAGTCAATAAAGCACAGGTAAATATCTTTCTGGTATTCTCTGCTTTCAGCCAAGATCATCTTATGTCAGCGATGATAACCTTCATTCCAAGTCATCCCAAAAACAGAAATCACATGTACCTGTAAAAGGAAGTAAAATTCAGAGGATTTACTTATAGATTCAAAAGTAATACATATTTTCACCAAAATTTAAAACTCTACATTAAAATAATACAGAAATGTAAAAATGATAGTCTTCTTTCTCGTCTCCTCAATCCATTTCCAGGTTGTCACTAAACTGGTTTAGAATGTGCTTCTCCAGATGTTTCCCTAAGTATTCTATTAGCATTGGAAAGGCAGTTGATTTTCCTACTTCCAAATAGTCTCCAAGTTGCTCCTTTTTCCCCTAAGCAATATACTAGTAAACTTCCATGCCAACTGTTTAAATCTACTTTTTGAAAAAAAAAAACACAAAAAAACACTTTTTATTGTGAATGAATGTTTACAGAGCACATCATCAGTTTTACATTCAACAAATCATATTTTAAAAAAACATTTCATTTCAATGAGTGCAATTCCCTCAAAATAACATTGTTTATTCCTCCCTGTGATTCTTACTTCCATTTTTCCTTCTTTTCTAGTCCTTCTGAATTTTGTCTTTAGGAAAATGCTGCTCTTCTAGTCTTTAAGGGTTGACTAGTCTATGGTGTACATACCTCAGTAGTGTTGTTGTCCCACCCTATATAGCTAGCTACTGCTGGTCTGAAATTTTGAGTTACAAGGGTGAGTTCAGTTCCAGACCTGAAGGTCGACCAAGGCCATAGTCTTAGGGTTTTTCCAGTCTTTTTATGACCAATAAGCCTGGTCTTTAAAAAATATTACTTTTATTTTTAAATTTTGGGCTATATTTTCATTTATTATTATTATTTTATTTATTTATTTATTTATTGGGGGGGGGGGCTATGTTTTCTTGCACTGTATCCAGGACCTTAAAATGTGATACATTCAGAGCAGTTGTTAGTGGTAGCCGGGCATCATGCAGTTCTGGTCTCAGGGTTGTGGAGACCTATGCTCACATGGTCCATTGGACTGATTGTTTTCAGTTTCATCAATTTACCGCTCTTCTTTCTTTTCGTACAGAGACCAATTGTTGCACCCAGTCGTTACTCACCAAAGTAGGATGTAGAACATTGTGATTGTGGACTATGCCATGTCAGTTGACCAAGACTACACTAAGCCTTTCCTCCTAACTCTTGGGACTAGGGACAGTTCTTTTCAGATGAACAGGTTTCTCCAGAGTTTTGGTCTATGAGGAATGATCCACTGTCCTTGTTCCCTTGCCTTCAGCATAAAATTGTCTGAGTCACCTAGGTTCATGTGTTATGTTTATACTCTCCGACAGACTGTCCCTTTGTCAGCCAGGTAGCATAATTGCTTCTATTTTACTGGCTGGCAAATTGAAAACCAGAGACTTTGGGAAAATCAGAGTCATAAAACCTAGACCTGTAAAGAGTTCCATCTCTGCCCTTGGGCTTTGTTCCACAGAAAGGTCAGACCCTTGAAGTTGTTCACAGACAGTAGTTAGGTATCTGAGATCCTTCTTCAGGCGCAGAAAAACAGATTGTAAGTGAGTAGGCCAATGATTTATCCTTTTTTTTTTTTTTTTGTCATTTAACTCATCCACTTCTCCCTTTTAAAGAGAAAATCATGACTTTCAGCGGCTGTCTACCAGCCCCAGGGTTCCCGGCGGTGCATTAGACTCAGGACCCCGACCAGAGGGCACTGTGGCTAAGAGCCCGACCCCACTCCATTCACTCTGGCCACGCAAGGGATCTAAAGCACCGAAGTACGTGAGAAACATCGCGCACTCCGACTCCCACGGATGAAAGGAGATGATGGACCAGCGGTGGTCGACAGACAGTTGGGTGGACTGACTCACGCCGGGACAGCAGAACAAACGGACTGGTGTATGTTCACAACCTCCGCCAGGGGCCAGCGGAGCGCCGAATCTGCAGAACTGCGCTTGCGCCTATAGAATTGTTCCTGCTCTTCGCATGCGCGGCTCGGGTCGGCTCTGACGTGAGCAAGAAGATGGCGGCGTCCGCGGTCTGCCGGGCTGCTAGCGCTGGGGCACGGGTGTTGTTACACCCTGGGGGTTCGGTGAGGCTGCAGCGGGAGAGAGAGGGTGCAGGACATGGGGTTGCGGGGAGCTGGACTTCAAGACACGGACGGGGAGCGGGTGGTTATTGGCGGCGGATCGAGGTGGAGAGGTCGCGGTGTCAGGGCCGCGGGAAGGTCACGGCCGAGGGCGTGGACAGAGATCTCACGCAGGGCCTGGGTATCGGGACGAGGGTCTTGCTGCGGGAGAAGCCTGTGTGGGGATCCATCTGGGGAGCGTCCTCTCAAGTCCCTCGGTCGCGACCACCTTCTCTTCGCAGCCAGCCCTACTGAGGGCCCCTGCCCTGCGAGGAACAGCCACCTTCGCTCAGGCCCTCCAGAACGTGCCTGAGACGCAGGTCAGCCTGCTGGACAACGGGCTGCGTGTGGCCTCGGAGCAGTCCACCCAACCTACCTGCACGGTGAGTCGCGGGGGAGGAGATCTGGGAGGGGTCCTCCCGTTTGGTTTGGATTCAGACTCTGGCTTTCTCGGACCTCAGCTACACCCTGACCCTTTGGGGCAATTTTACGGAGAACCACTGTTCATTTAGCATATGATGCCTGTCAAATAGAAAACCAAGTTATTTTCCAGCTTCTTAACAATCACTGTGTTAAATTAAGTGATTTTTCAGGGGTCTAGGTCTTTCAACTTCACAGCCCAAGGTCGTAACCTCCACGCTAGAAGAAATGGCATTTGTAGATCCTAGTGAAATAGGTGATTTTTCAAAAGGTACAAATTCTGAAATTTGACTCAAGGATAGAAGTCTTGAGTAGGTATATAGATTAGTCTTGGCTCTAAGAAGCTCCAGTGTCAAGTGCTTTTACTGGCAAATTCTTTCAGTTTTCTAGTAACCAATAATGTGCTGCAATGTAAGTTACTGAACAACCAGAAAAGATGAGAAGCAACTTCCTTGTTCTATGGTACCATCATAAACCAGTCCAAAGCCTGTTCAGAACACTCAATAGTGACTGCTACATTTCATGGACCGGAAGATGCTCTAGATTCATTGGAGCACCAATGTGCTCCAATGCCAGAGAAAACAATGCTGCTAATTACAGTTCAGGGATAAGATAGATTGTTAAATGTATCTTGCTTTCCAAGACGTTAGATGTAAATGTTCAGCTATGAATTTGACATGAGATTTGTATATCAACATTTCTTAAGAAAGTAGATGCTAAAAACTTAAATGAATTGACGAAAAATTTATTAAAAGACTAAACTGTCGTGACCATGTGAGTCACAAGATTCACATTGGGTACCAAGTAGACATTTGGCAGTGTTTGGTGTTCAGATTTGACTGGTTAAAAACTTTTTAAAAAGATGTGAATGGTATGTGATAAAATGTACAGCATAGCATCTAAATTCGTAGTCTCTTAGTAATGGAAAGCTAAAAACTAAAAAAAAGACAGGAAATAATTTTTTGAAAGGAGAAAAATAAATTGTCATTTACAAATGATGTGTTGCATGTCTAGAAAAGCCCAAAGAATTGAAAGTGAGCATGAATCTCAGAATTTCATCTATGAACCAGGAGGGTATGCAGAGTTAGAAATATCCTGGGTGTCTTCAATAATCCTTCAGAAAGTAGGGCATGAAGGAGAAGTGATGCATTGTGACTAGTCAGTTAGTTAGTGGCCTATGTCCAGGGCACTGTGGGCAGGTGGCTCTGACCTCAGAGGTCCTGCTTGAGCAGCCTACCCACCCTCTGAGGACTGAGCCCCTGCTTGGGGTTTGTGCCAATTGTAAGTGGGGACTGGGATGGCTTGTTAATTACCTCCTTTATTGGTGACTTCCTATCTAGGTGGGAGTGTGGATTGACGCTGGCAGCCGCTATGAGACTGAGAAGAACAATGGGGCAGGCTACTTTGTGGAGCATCTGGCTTTCAAGGTGAGACTCTGGAAGCCCCGTGTCTTCCTTGGGCATGGGATATCCTGTTGTTTTCTCCTGAGGATTCAGACCAGAAAAGTCAGCCTATTCAATTATGGGTCTCAGCTGGGGAGGGAGAAACTCTTACTGAACTTTCTGGAAGGACTCACAATGTGCTTAACCTTTTCTGAGTGAGAACCTTTTTGGTGAACCCCAGCACCTGGTCCCTGGAACCAAAAAAGACTTAAAAAGCCACAGGAACCTCACACTCCACAGGAGAGACCAGCCCTGTGTGTGGCATGCTAACTTGTGAAATGTCCTGCTTCCTGGGTACATCTCTTGGTCATAGAAGTAAGCACTGAGCTTTCTTGAAGGTGGTGACTGTCACCACTATAGTCCCTCAACCAGCCCATTCTGGCACAATGTACAGACAAAATATTTTAAACAAATGGAAAGGATGGAGAAAAGAGGTATCGGGGGATGGTTCCTCCCACTCACACAAATGAGAGTATGGGGCTGGAGGATTTGACCCAGCCAGTTATAGGATTGCAGGTATGAGTAGAGATCTTAACTTGCACATATGTGTCATGAAACAAAGCCACCTTGCCACACATTCAGACATGGGAATGTGATTGAGTCCTGTAGAGGCAACCACTAACACATGCAGAGTCACATAAATTGCCTCAACATGAGCTTACCTAGCTATGACTTCAGTAAGAGGAGGGACACCTAGCATAGCCAGACTCATGGAAACATTGAACTTCTGGCAACACTTGCTCTGGCCATGGCTTTTGTCTTAGTCCCTGGCTATATCTGTTCTATTGGCCCATGATGCTTCAGCTTCAGGCAGCTCAAGGCCTGCTTAACGCTTGGTGAGCACAGATTCTGGGCCTTATACCCCCAGAGTCTTTGTGGCAGAGGATGATAACCTGTAGATCAGTGATCCTTCCGGGACCTTATCCTGTAAGGAGAGGGTGGGCTCCTATATGGCTCCTGATTGGTTCTGTTAATGTTTGGTCCCAGGGAACAAAGAATCGGCCTGGGAGTGCTCTGGAGAAAGAGGTAGAGAGCATGGGGGCCCATCTTAATGCCTACAGCACTCGGGAGCACACAGCTTATTACATTAAGGCGCTATCCAAGGACCTGCCGAAAGGTAACAGCCTAGAGGATGGGGTGAGGGCAGGATGGGGAAGGGCTCCTTGGAACCCCTGGCTTGGCTGTAGCACCAGCTTACCTGTAAGGTACAGCCTGGCAGCAGTAGGAAATGCCAGACTGGGAGCGTTGTGCAGTCTCTGGTCTCCAGGGCCTTCTCCTTGCTCACCTGACACCTCAGATGTGTCCCTCTTGTGTCTAGCTGTGGAGCTCCTGGCTGACATTGTGCAGAACTGCAGCCTGGAAGATTCACAGATTGAGAAGGAGCGAGACGTGATCCTTCGGGAGCTGCAGGAGAATGATGCTTCCCTACGGGATGTGGTCTTTGACTACTTGCACGCCACGGCATTCCAGGGCACTCCCCTGGCTCAGGCTGTCGAGGGGCCCAGTGAGAATGTCAGGTGAGGGTTAGCTAGGCCCCTGGTGAATGTGTCCCCCCATTTAGGCCTGAGTCAGATCCCTTCCAGGCCATGTCTACCTGAGTTTGTGTATAGTTGACTGAGTGTTTGCACTATCTGTTTATTTTCCTAATTCATATGATTGGAGACTTTTTCTATATTGCTGTCTGGTCCTTGTGAGTCTTTTTAAATGGCTGTATGGTGTGCGTGCAAATTTCAGGTCATGTTGTAGGATATGTTTCCACACATGTTCTGATAGTCTGAGGAAGTGAATGTCTGACTATCCCACCTATGTGGCTTGTTTTCTCCTGGCAGGAGGTGGGCTATGAGGGTAACAGCATCAACTCACACCCTCTTGAGAGAGGCCTCTGAGCCCCCTGGGGTCAGGTGGCAAGGCTGGGTGAGGGCTGCCTTCAGCACCCTTGAAGGGAGGGTACCAGAGATGGGAGAGGAGTGTACCAGAGTATGGCCTGCTCTGTAGAGAAGCCACGCCTCTCCTCATCTGCTCTTCAGCCCGTTTTGTACAACCCAATTGCTTGGTGTAGGAGAGGTGTCAACCCTTTGGTATATGTCTTGTAGGAAGCTGTCGCGTGCAGACCTGACAGAGTACCTCAGCAGGCATTACAAGGCCCCTCGAATGGTGCTGGCAGCGGCTGGAGGTAAAGCCTGTGGTAATAGGCATGTGGGCATAGGCCTTGGATATCAGGACCCAGGGTTCCTGGTTTTAACCCCCTTCTACTCTTGAGGACCCTATTCCCACCCTGCCAACAAGGGGAGTATTTTTCTCCCATATTCTCTGAGGCAAGATAGGGTTCCACTCTGCCACCACTGGGACCAGCCTCTTTCATACTGGCCTCACTTAGGCTGCTGGTTCCCTGGTCCCACCTGGTCCTGTTGTGTGGGCCTGGGTTTGTTCCTCAAGGCCTCACCAGTGGGCAAACCAGACATCATGTCTGTGATAACATGATGCATACTTGATAAGTTGGGAAGTGCCTCCATTTAGAGCTGGAGGTTGAGTTGAAGGATGCTTGAACAGAGGCTACAGGGTGGTGTGAGTTAGTTAGCTGGGGCATGAGGGACCTGAACAGAGGGGAGGGGGAGTGCCATGGGCCAATACTTTTTATTTTTTTTAGTTTTAATTGTGAATTGAGTGATAGTTTACATGGGAGAACATCAGTTTTACACTCATCATTTCATGGCAGTGATTACAATCCCCTCCGTGCCTCATCATTCAACAGTATTTACTTCTGTTCCCTTTTTTGTGTTTGTATGTTGGGGTTGGGGTGAGCTAGATATACACAGAAACGCTCAGGAATATATAATAATTTAAACAACCAGAGGGCACAGTCTGCAAGCCTGCCTCCTGGCTGCCAGCACTCAGTCCCTCTCTTTCCATGAGTCTATAGTCCTCAGCTGCTCCTTCTCTGCATGTCCTCATCTCTGCCTCCATCTCTGGTGTCGCTGCTTCTCTGGATAGGGTTCCACATGTTGCTTGTGCTCTTTTCCCTGGATGGCCCTATTCTCTTCTGTTCCTGGAGGTCTGATACATGTTTGAAGGTTTGCTCTGCTGCTGTTTGGGGACAGAGCAGAGGCAGGCAGATCAGGGAAGGGCTGTGACAGATAGGTGGAGGAGAGCAGGAACAAGAAGGAGAAGTGAATGCGCTCAGGATAGTTGTACAGATGGAAACTTGACAGGGTTCTGGACCTGGTGGGGGCGCCAAGTCAAAAACAACTCAGTTTCTAGTCTTGGCCACTGGCTGAGTGAAAAGACTGATAAGAACATGACTGGGGACCTTAGCTAGGAAACCTGGGGACCAAGAACAGTTGGAGGTACTGGATGTCAGACTGTTGAGTTGGAAGAGGGTCTGAGTTCAGGGAGGTGAGACTAGAAGGCTGAGGCATTTGTTGCTCTGGGCCCAACTGCCTGCTGCTGCAGTGCTCACCACTCAGGTGTTGGGGCAACAGAGGCTGCTTCTCGTGGAGGTGAGGAGGTGATGTCTTATAAGGGGTCCTGAGGGCATGGGTTTGTAATGTGACTTGTCAGTGTCCTCAGCTCTCAGGAGACCCCCAGAGCTAATCAGAGCCCTGTAGTAGCACCACTTTGTGCCCTTGTACTCACTAACCCCCATGGGGGCAGCAGCCAGGATCTACTTGGGAAGGGCAGGGCAGGTGTTCTTGTGCCCTGGGAGTGCCGGTGTCTCCCTGGATGGAAATAAGGTACCTAGTCTTGGTTGAGAATCAACACCGTCAAATGGGAAGCTCTCCCTGAGGTGCCGGCCTTTCCCACAAAGCGAGGCCTGTTGGTAGAGGATTGTTTATTCTCACCCTGTCCTGATGTCTGGTCTTCCTTCTGGTGTCTCCCACTGAGACAGGACACAGGGTCCTCTCCGCCTGTTCCTTGGACTCTGGATGTCCAGTAACATTGCTATCTGTCTCATAGGGGTGGAACACCGCCAGCTGCTCGACCTTGCCCAGAAGCACTTCAGCAGCATCTCTGGGGCCTATGCAGAGGACACTGTGCCCTCTGTGGAGCCATGCCGCTTCACTGGCAGTGAGGTGAGCTGTCTGGTGGGCAGGGGTAATGTCCTCAGCTAGGAGTCTCCAGGAGGACTCTGTGTGCATGCTTCTCCACAGGGGTAGGAAAGTGCTCCTGTGGCCACTGCCTCAAAAACATTCAGATATGCTCGCCTCTTCACCGTCACTAGTGCCCTCGCTGGTCACCTGGGCAGTGTGACTGGCCCCTGATTTCACTATGCACTGTTTCAGATCCGCCATCGTGACGATACCCTGCCCCTGGCCCATGTGGCCATTGCAGTGGAAGGGCCTGGCTGGGCCAACCCAGACAATGTAGCCCTCCAGGTGGCCAATGCCATTATCGGCCACTATGACTGTACCTATGGTGGTGGCAAGGTGAGTGTTGGGGTGAGCATGAGACCTTGCCTTTAGAGAGGAGAAAATGCTGGGGCTCTGGGGCTCAGGGTGTGGGCCACAGATAGGAGAGCGGCTGCTGACCACCTTTGCCCCTGGCAGCACCTGTCTAGCCCACTGGCTTCAGTTGCTGTGACCAACAAGCTGTGCCAAAGTTTCCAGACATTCAACATCTGCTATGCAGAAACCGGCCTGCTAGGTGCCCACTTTGTCTGTGACCATATGAGCATCGATGACATGATGTTCTTCCTGCAGGGCCAGTGGTGAGTGGCAGCGCAGGAATGGGTGGGATGGGGTCCCATGAGCAGAGTCGTGGGAGACTAAGAACCACACAGTCTCTCAGAATGCGCCCCCACACCTCCATCTCTGGCTTTAGGATGCGCCTATGTACCAGCGCCACAGAGAGTGAGGTGGTACGAGGCAAGAACATCCTCCGAAATGCCTTGGTGTCCCATCTGGATGGTGAGCTCTGCTCTCCTGTGGGGAAGGCGGGGAGGTATGTGTTGGCAGTGACAGCCTCAGTACGGCCACCATCCCTGCCACCCCCACCCCCTCACCCCTTGGAAGAGCTTGACATTGACAAGCAACAGCTGCTTGTTTCAAACACAGGTGGTTGTAGAAGAGAGTCAGAGCAGGATCCAGGACTCAGCCTGAGGCTGGTGGTTTTGTGCACATGTGGTCCAAGACTGGACTGGACAGGTCAGGCCCTAAGCCTCCTCCTGCCCCCGCAGGCACTACCCCTGTATGTGAGGACATCGGACGCAGCCTGCTGACCTATGGCCGCCGCATTCCCCTGGCCGAGTGGGAGAGTCGGATTTCGGTAACAGCCCCTTTAGGAGAGGTTCCAGAGGATTGGCCTGGCAGTCCATTGGGGTTGGAGAGTTGGATGCTGACAAAATAGAGCATGCTCTTGTAGGCATCCCTGGTGTCCTTGGCAACCATCACCTAGAGGCGGGGCATATTTCGAGGTGCTGATGACGGGCTGGGTGGGACCATGGATGCCCACTGAAGGGAGAGCAGTGCTTTGTTTCCCTTTTTGGGTTTGGGGACAGCTCCCTGGTCTGGGTGGTAGATCTTGGTCAGCTAAGTAGTGTTGGTTAGCTGAGGTGGTCCCTAGGTGCCAGGAGTCAGCTGGCCCTCTGTTTTACCCTGTAGGAGGTGGATGCAAGCGTAGTGCGCGAGGTCTGCTCTAAGTACTTCTATGACCAGTGCCCGGCAGTGGCTGGATTGGGTGAGTGGCCTGGAGTGGCTCTTTGTCCTTCTGGGGCCAGTATTTAGGCCTCTCCTGCCTCTGCTCCCCTACCCCCACTGAGTTGAGACCTCCCCAATAGCCTGGCTGCCAGGGACTTCTTGCTCAGTAAACCTGTCCCAGCAGCTCCCTCACTCCCTGCCAAGGTGCCTCCATCCATACCCCACAGCTGCCAGGTAACGGGCACCTTTGTGTGTGGGGTGGGGCACTGAGGGCCAGAACGTGAAGGGACAAGCTCAGCACCCCTGGAGGAATGTTCTCTTCCTTCTTTCCATTCAAAGCCTGTCCTGTGCTGCTCTGGGCATCTCCAAGTTGGTTTGGCACAGGGCCAAGTGTCTGTGTACAGGCCATGTACCCCACCCTGACGCCCCACCCTATCCCCACAGGCCCCATCGAGCAGCTTCCAGACTACAACCGGATCCGTAGTGGCATGTTCTGGCTGCGCTTCTAGGCAGGAAGCCTGTGCAAGAAAAAGGGTGGGTCTGGGGCTCATGGTGCCCCCAACACACACATACTACCCTGACTCCTCAAACCCTTGCAAAAAGAGGGTATATCCCACATTACCACCAATAAAGTCTGGTGTTAAAAACTGTGTTGTTCTTTTATTGGCATTAGCATTGGCATTGAATCTATTTGGAAAGCAGGGACTCCCTCCCCCCACCCCCTAATTCTTATCCCTTGAATCCTTTTGCTTTTCCACAGGCTGATGTGTCCTCAGCCAGGGGCAAGCGTGGGGGCTGCAGCACCGAGGCCGGAATCCTTTGATGTCTGTAGGGAGCTAAGCCCAGATGTTCCCACTCAGCCACTTGGGGGATGTTCTTCAGCGGACTTGTCCCAAGAGTGGGGCTGTGGGAGTCTATGGGAGCTGCATACTCAGCCACTGACCTGGGAGGGGTCCCAGCCTGGAAACTCAGGACTTCTATAGAAAGCACCTAATTGGGGGCTCTGTAGAGTTGTGCTCTAGTGGTCCCTGGTCCCTGAGATGGACCAGGAGGGACTAGGGGCTCTCCTGGAGGAGCCTTTTCATTGTTTTTTCTGGATTCTGGGAGGAGGCTAGCCTGGGGCAGTGTTCCCATTTGGTTTCTAACTGTTGCCTGGACAGGCAGGGCAAGAATCTTTTGCCTTGGTTTGCCGCTGACTCACGCTCCAAGAATAGCCCTGAGCTCAGTGGGGCCCAAGCCCCCTCCCCCAGCTAGGTCTGTCCCAGGCAAGTCCTGAGCTGCTGGCCCAATGATCCCCTCTCCAACTCCCTGATGGCCAGGACCTGGTGGAACACTCAGTTGTGTTGTCTCCCTGCCACCTCTTTGGTCCCTGGTCCCCAAGGCAGGTGGACAGATAGGCCCTTTTCCTACACCCCACAGTCAGGTTCTCTGGGAACTCAATGGGAAGATGGAAATGGGGGGCCCAGGTCTATGAAGAAGTTGCTGGCTGGCAAGGGGCCAAGAAGATCCATTCAGAAGTCCCCCAGCATCCCAGCTTGGAAACCTAAAATAAGCTTCACTCATTCCTGCTTACCCTGGTACCTTTCTCTCACCCCAATTTGCTGTCCCTGCCCCTGTACCAGTTGCTGTGGAGTTGATTCTGACTCATAATGACCCCACCTACATCATAGTAGAAGTATGCTCTGTAGGGTTTTAGTAGCTGTTTTTTTGAAAGGAGATTGTGAGGTTTCACTTCCAAAGCACTTCTGGATGGACTCTTCCCAAACCTCCAACCTTTCAGTTTGTTAGCAGCTGAACATGTTAACTGTTTGCACCATCTAGGGACTGCCACTTGTTGCCACAGATGTCAATCAGAAGACATTTATCAAGTGCTTCTAGATCCCAGAAACCAGCTAGAGGATTTGCCAGCCCATCCTCCTGTCTCACTGGCAATAGAAGCTACTGGACAGTGCAGAACTCTTGACAGCCTGCTCCTAGGTGCTTGTAAGTATCTGGGAGAGCAAATATACCGCATACCAGGCAGAGAGACTAGTAGGTACCGAGTCTGCTGCCCAGCGGTTGAACCCTTGGAGTTCAGCCCTGACCCTTGAAGGCTATACTCACTGGGATTAATCTAACCCCAATGGACCTGTCAAGTCTTGGAATGCAGTTTTACCCTGGAGGCATGTTGAGGACAATAGCGGTTACTACAAAGATAAGGGATGTATCCAGAGCATCTTTAGCATGGCTTTCTGTGGCAGTGATGGTGAGCAAGGTCACCAGGGTAAGAAGAGAGCCAGAGGGGCACACAAGCAGAATAGCACCCCCAGCAGGGCTGAGGAACCCTGGAGGAAGGGTAGGTTGCCAGAGGATGACCTACCCAATTTTGGTCATGATTCTGGTGAGGAGTCTGCAGGCATCCAACAGAGAGTGGCATGTGTGGAGCTGGAGTCCTGGCAAGAAACCCAGCTGGAGACATCTGGTGCCAGCCAGCTTTTCCTGAAGTCAGGGAGGAGAATGTCTAAGGAAGTATGGAGTATGCAGGGAGGACTGGGCTCTGGGGATCCCCTTGCCCTGATGAAGGAAGCTGGGCCTTTTGTGGTGTGCCTGCTAGAGGTTGGAGTCAGTAGTCTGGGAGGACTCTGCTCATAAGTCTCACTGGAGCTCCAGGCACATACTTAACCCTAACCTTGGTTTAACCTCTCAACAGCTCCTCTCACAGTGACCCCTGATGTGGGCAACAGACCTTTTCTTTTGTGGGTTCCTCACAGTTCTACCTGAACGCCCTTTCCACTGGTCTCTCATCTGGTCTCCCAGCCTCTCCCTTACAGGCTGGACTCATTCATACATGTGTTCATATAACATAAGCATCTGCCTTGCTCCTACTGCTCACCCTTACTGTACAGGGGGGAGGGGCTGCCTCTGTAGCAAGAGTATATCTGGTTCCATAACACCCTCCCCTGTGGGATCATAGAGGGACTATTCCTGCAGCTCTGGTCATACTAGACAGTCATCAGACCTGATGTTCAACAGAAACACTGTCCCTGTTTTTCCTGACTTAACCTGTGGATCCACATGTTGGAAGGGACAGGTGGTAGTGGTGAGTGTAGATGTGCTTTCTAACTTGCCCAGAATCATCCAGGACCAGGGGGAAAAGAAATGGCAGGGCCTGTTTGGGACCTCTTCTTTTTAGGAGCATCTCACTGCTCTGCCCTCATGATGACTCATATCCTCAGGACAGTGCCCCTGAGCTATGGAAGGAACTGTCCAGTCACAGAAGACAGTAAGGAAAGGAGAGATAGGAAGTCAGACTAGGTAAGGGAAGAGGAATGAAGCAGGGGATGGTTCTGAAACTATAGGTCTAATGATCATTAAGATGTAAAATGTGAGGAAAGGAAGGAGGGGCCCAGGGTGATCTTGGTGGGAATGATGGGTAGAAAGAGATCTTCAAGATGGAAGAAGGGGAGCCAACAGGAGGTAACGCCTGGGGCTAGGGCAGCCCACCAATGTGGGTGTGTGCAGGAGGGCATAGATTCCTGAAGGATGAGTTGTCACCATGGGTGGTCCCTCCCTTCACATCTGGGCAGCCCCCCTTCCTGTAGGCACAGCTGGATAGCATCTGCCTGGAACTTTTTCCGAGCACAGTAGGGGCCATGGGCCAGTGGGGTAGACATGTAAAAACACAGGTTCTCTTTCTCAAAGTGAGGGGGGCATTACCCAGGGCCAGAGCTTCCCTGGAGTGTTCCCAGAGTCCCTCAATTGTTGCTTCAACTGGTGAGGGGAGTGGAGTGGGGGCACAGGAGGCCTAAGGCAGACAGAGGGATGGCTGAATCACAGGAATGGCCAGCTGCAGGACTGTGGCCTGAGGGCTTGTCTGGCACACACACCCCCCTTGCGTGCCCCAACTGGGTGGAAGTGAGTCATCTCCAGCTGTTGCGTCCCCTCTCCACCTCTGCTGCTGCCTCCTGTGTCCAGGAACTTGTCTACATCCCAACCTCCAGCACTCATTTCACTGTCCCGATTGACTAAAAGCAGCCAAGATTTCTGACCCTCTATGGCTGGGGAGACTTGTCAAGCATCAGTTCTGGGGGGAAGCCTGTGGGGATTCCCAGAGGCCACAGGAGGGGGCTTTACATTTAGTATTGTCAGATCATCTGTCCCTGGAGAAGAGGCAGAAGGTGGGGACCTGAGGAGGGGGAGGGCGATTGGGGGGGGGGGGGGGGGGCGGGCCGCCTGGGTCCCCGCCCGCCGCTCCGCCCCCTGGGATCAGGGACTTTTCTTTGCGGTGGCTGCAGGACTTAGGCGGCGGTGGGAGCAGGCGGACGCGCAGGCAAGGCCGGGCCGGGCGACTGGTTGAAGGGGAGGCAGAGTGGCCGTCGGGTTCGGGCCTGTTGGGGGTGCGTGGGGGGAAGGTCAGGGGCAAGGGTCCTGGCTAACCGTTTCCCTCACCCAGGATGAGGCTGCGACTCCTGGTAGCCGCGCTCTGCGCTGGGGTCCTGCTGGGGGCGCCCCGAGTGCGGGCCCAGCTGCGGGAGAGAGGTGCGCGGCGCGGAAAGGACCCCGTCGGGGCCATTTGCACTCCGTCACCTTCCATCCCCTCCCCTTTCCTCCATGACCTGTGTGGATTCCTCCTAACTCGCCCCGAACTTCCCAAACCCACCTAGAACTGAGCTGGATTCCCCCAAACCGCTATTCCCGTCAGTCCCCCAATTCTGGCTTCCCAAATGCGCTCTGGGTCTCCTGCCCTTCGCCACCCTGCCGGCGGCCCCTCTTAAACTTGCAGTCGTCCTCAGAGACCGATCTCTGTCCCAGATTCACACCCGCGCCGCTCCCTCCCCTGCCCCCCAAATCCCTGTCGCCCCTGGTATGCCTCAACCCTCTGCGTTCTAGAGCCCTCTCTGGGCCAGCCCACTCCAAGCTGCCAGGGCCCGGTTTACTTAAACAGTTGAGGACGCCCTTCCCCACTCATTCCCTCTTCCAGTCCCCAAGAACCCCTGTGTGGGGAAGGGAGCAATGGGCACCGAGGAGAGGTTGCGATCTCTCCCCCTTGTTTCAGTGACCTGTACGCGTCTTTACTCGGCTGACATCGTGTTCCTTCTCGATGGTTCTTCATCTATCGGCCGAAACAACTTTAGAGAAGTCCGTGGCTTTCTAGAAGGGCTGGTGCTGCCTTTCTCTGGGGTTACCAGTGCACAGGGTGTGCGCTTTGCAGCTGTGCAGTACAGTGACGACCCACAGTAAGTGGGGGCTGACTGGGGTTGGGGACCCGCACACCCCACCACAATCTCTGCTCTAGGCAGAGGCTGGAAGCTCAGAAACTCCCAGGCCAGGCCACTCCTGGGATAGGCTTTGGGGAGCCCAGAGACCCCTAGACAGTACCCCCTGTGTAGACAGTGGCAGGGATTCTCTAGGTAGAGCCTTTGCCCCCTGAGAGATCCTCTGGGCCAGTAACCTCCAGGTGCCCCATGTCTGATGAACACTCCATGTTCTAGCCCTGTGGTCAGCCCCTCCATTCACCCAGAGAGCATTATTGTCTGGCCACTGTCTAGTGCCCCACCAATTGGGCCCTTCCCCTGTAATTGTTCAATTAACAAGACATCTGGCCTAGATTCAGTTACAGGTGGGGTCCTGTTGGGATGTCTGTTGACTTTGAGGCCCCAGGGATTGGGGCAGGAACCATAGGGTCAAGAGGACCCTTAAGGGAGCCTGATATCCATGACCTTGGCTCTGGAGGCCTCCTAGTGGCCAAGACCGGAAGAGCTCCTGATTGCCAAGACCGGAAGAGCTCCTGATTGCTAAACTATTGTCACCTCACTGCCCACAGAACAGAGTTTGGCCTGGATGCACTTGGCTCAGGGGGTGATGCCATCCGTGCCATTCGTGAGCTCGCCTACAAGGGGGGCAACACACGGACTGGAGCTGCACTTCTCCATGTAGCTGACCACATCTTCCTGCCCCAGCTGGCCCGACCTGGTGTCTCCAAGGTAATCCCTAATCTCTCACCATGCCTCCCAAGGTGACCCAAATCAAGTGTCCAAGGTAGTAGCCCTAATGAAGTCTGTACCTACCTACCCCAGGTCTGCATTCTGATCACAGATGGGAAGTCCCAGGACATGGTGGACACAGCTGCCCAGAAGTTGAAGGGACAGGGGGTCAAGCTATTTGCTGTGGGTGAGTACCAAGCCAGGGTGAGGGGTCAGCTGGGGCAAGCACATGTCAGAGGGCATGTGGCAGCTGACCTCTGATTTGAGCATCACTTCAGGAATCAAGAATGCTGATCCTGAGGAGTTGAAGCGAATTGCCTCACAGCCAACCAGCGATTTCTTCTTCTTCGTCAATGACTTCAGCATTTTAAGGACACTGCTGCCCCTTGTTTCTCGCCAAGTGTGCACGACTGCTGGTGGCGTGCCTGTGACACTGCCCCGTGAGTTCCTGCGCACTGTGTGCCCTGATCTGGACCCCTGACCCTGACCCTTACCCTCACCTAGGAGTGCTGATTCCATCCCCAAGTCAGGGGGCTCCTAGCCTTTGACTCTAATCTGGGGCCCACACAATATACTGCTGAACTCATGACTCTGTCTCATGACCTTTGACTCTCCTGCCTCAGTGCCCTCATGATTCCCTCTACTTCTAGCTGATGACGTGACCTCTGGCCCACGGGACTTGGTACTGTCTGAGGCAGATAGTCAATCTTTACGAGTACAGTGGACGGCGGCCAGTGGCCCGGTGACTGGCTACAAGGTCCAGTACACTCCTCTGACAGGAGTGGGGCAGCCAGTGCCGAGCCAGCGGCGAGAGGTGAGGATGGCAGGAGTTGGAAGTGGGAGCTGGGGACTTGGCTGGGCAAGATAAGGTGACCTCTGATCTTGGGTAGGTGAGTGTTCCAGCTGGTGAGACTAGCGTGCAGCTTCAGGGCCTCCGACCACTGACCGAGTACCAGGTGACTGTGGTTGCCCTCTACGCCAACAGCATCGGGGAGGCCGTGAGCGGTACAGCTCGGACCAGTGAGCAATGTTGCCAACCTCTGACCCCACTCACCTAACCACCCACCCCAGTAACCCTTCCCACTCCTGACCACTAATAACTGGTGGAACCTTCCCCCAGCTGCCCTGGAGGGGCCAGAGCTGACCATCCAGAACACCACAACCCACAGCCTCCTGGTGGCCTGGAGAAATGTGCCAGGTGCCACTGGCTACCGTGTGACATGGCGGAACCTTAGAGGTGAGTGAGATGTGTTGGCTGAGGAGAGTCCCCGTGCCTCAGACAGAATGATGAAATTCTGAGTCTGCAAGGCTCACTGACACCTCTATGCACCTGGTCACCCACAGGTGGGGCTGCTGAGCAGCAGGAGCTGGGCGCTGGGCAGCGGTCAGTGTTGCTGCGTGGCCTGGAGCCTGGTACAGACTATGAGGTGACGGTGAGCACACTGCTTGGCCGTAGTGTGGGGCCTGCCACCACCCTGACAGCCCGCACTGGTGAGAAGGCTGTGTGCTTTTGTTAGGTTGGGGTGGGGTAGTCAGGGCTGGGTGACTAACTCTCCATGTTCTTTGGGCAGACACCTCTGTTGAACAGACACTTCGCCCAGTCATTCTGGGACCCACGTCTATTCTTCTGTCCTGGAACCTGGTGCCTGAGGCCCGAGGCTACCGGCTGGAGTGGCGGCGTGAGAGTGGTCAGTGCCGGAGGGATGGGCAGGTGGTGGAAAGGGCTGGATCTCAGCTAGCCTGACCATATCATCTTCTAGGGTTAGAGCCACCAAAGAAGGTGGAGCTTCCTTCTAATGTGAATCGCTACCAGTTGGAAGGGCTGCAGCCAGGCACTGAGTATCGCCTTACGCTCTACACCCTGCTGGAGGGCCGAGAGGTGGCCACACCTGCATCTGTGGTCCCCACTGGTGAGGCTTTGGGGGGCTGGCCAAGTGAGTGGGAAAGGTACATAGACTTCAGGTTGCCTTTCACACTGTGCTCTCCAACAGGACCAGAGATGCCAGTGGGCCCTGTGATGGACCTAGAAGCGGTCAAGCTGCCTGGGCAGCGAGTGCGAGTATCGTGGAGCCCAGTCCCCAGTGCCACTGAGTATCGTATCACTGTGCGCAGCACCCAGGGTGAGGTGGACATGGCCAGCACTGTCCCCTTCCATTAAAGTTCCAGCCCTCGGTCTGATAGCAACCTCACCACAACCCCTTCCACTTCTGGGTCCCTATGGCCTCCTCCCCATCTTCTTTGTCCATCCACCACTAAGCCCAGAACTGTCACATGGCCTTCCTATCATCTCATAGCCCAACCTGTCAACACATCTGCTTTCCACTGACCCTGCATCTCCTGTCTCTGTCTATTGACCCTTGCCATCCTGTGTCCCCTTCCATCACTGAGCCATCTCATCCCCGTATTCCTTCCATCACTAACTCCTGTCATCTTTGTTCCCATCCATCATCACTGACCCTTGTCATCCTGTTTCTGTCCATCAGTGAATCCTTTCATCCTGTGCCCCATCTCTTACCCTTTTCATCCCAGGTTCCATTTCTCCCTGACCCTCATGGTCACCAAATCCCCGTTCCTGATCCTTGTCATCCTGTACCCCTATCCATCACTGACCACCATCTTCCCACATCCCTATATTTCATTCTCCCCTGCCATCCCATATCCTTACCCATCACTGACCCCTGCCCATACACGCCACCTTCTCCCCCAGGGGTTGAGAGAACCTTGATAGTTCCTGGGAGTCAGACAACCTTCGACTTGGATGACGTCCGGGCAGGGCTTAGCTATACCGTGCGTGTGTCTGCTCGAGTGGGTGTCCGAGAAGGTGATGCCAGTGTCCTTACTGTCCACCGTGGTGAGCACTTCAGGAAAGCTGTGGGGGACAGCAGCCTAACTCCCTCTAGCCCTCTTCCTGACCCCTGACCTCTGTCTCTAATCCCAGAGCCGGAAACAATGCTTACCATCCCAGAGCTGCGGGTAGTGGCGTCAGACGCCACACGAGTAAGGGTGGCTTGGGGACCTGTTCCTGGAGCCAGTGGATTTCGGATCAGCTGGAGGACAGGCAGTGGTCAGTGTAGGGTGTTGGGGTGTGTGGGAGGGTTGCAGAAGGGAAGGATCAAGGGTGTAGGGACTGAGGGGACAAGCAGAAGCCCAGGTCAATTTATCCTTCTGACTCTAGGTCCAGAGTCCACTCAGACATTGTCTCCAGACTCTACTGTCACAGACATCACTGGGCTGCAGCCTGGGACCTCCTACCAGGTGGCTGTGTCAGCACTGCGTGGAAGAGAGGAAGGCCCTCCTGTGGTCATCGTGGCTCGAACTGGTCAGGGCCTGACCAGATGCCTTGGCTCTGCTTCCAGACCCCATGTCTCCCGGCTTAGATCCCTGCTTCTCCCCAGAATGCCAGTCTCTCCCTTTAGATTCCCACTGCCTCTTTCCTCAGATCATCTGTTTTCCCCTTGCCTTCTGGTAATCTACCACTCTCTCCTTTAGATCCCTTGGCCTCATTCTTAAAATTCCTACTATCTTTGCTCTCAGATTTCCTCATCTCTTAATCCCTACCTACGGGCCCCCTGCCTCTCCTCTTAGACTTGCTCCTTTCTCAGACTCCTCACTACCTCCTAATACCTTCATAAGATCTCCACTTGTCTCCTCTGTCAGACCCTGTTGTCTCTCGGATTCCTATTGTCTGCCTCCTCAGATTCCTACTGCCTCTTCTATTAGAACCTCAACTTCTTCCCTCATCTGACCCCTTCACTACCAGATCCCTGCCTCCTGTTAGACATCCATAACCTGCCTTATCAGATGGCCCCCACTACCTTCCCCTTCATACTCTTCCACTGTCTCCCCCATTAGACCCCCTCTGCCTTCTCCATTAGATCCCGTGCTGCCTCCCCCATCAGGCACCTCCACTATCTTTCTCCCCAGACCCTTTGGGCCCAGTGAGGACAGTCCGTGTGACTCAATCTGGAAGCTCGTCTGTCATTATCAACTGGACCAGGGTTCCTGGAGCCACAGGATACAAGATCGCCTGGCGCTCAGGCCACGGTGGGGACAAAGGACTTGGGAGGGTTGTGGGAGGCAGATCTGGCTGGAATGAAGACTGTGTATAGCAAGGCGGGACATGGGGGTCACTTGCCTGGGGCTCAAGTCCAAGGAGGGGGGGGCTCCAGACAAGGTGACACAAATATGAAAGGTGCCTGACTGAGGCAGCTGGACAAAAGGAGAAAAGGTGTTTTTGTTGACATCTATTTGTCTTGAACTTGGGTGTGGGTGGGGGTGTCAGTTTAAGAGATTGTCCTTGAATTGGAGGTGGGGCGCAACTTAGAGATGGCCCCTGGGTGTCTCAGGAGTCCAGGTAGGACACTAAGGGCAGAGTCTTGCTGTTTCTGGAGCTGCGCCCATTCCCACCCCTAGGTCCAGAGAGAACCCAGCTAGTCTCTGGGGAGAACACGATGGCTGAGCTGGATGAGCTGAAACCAGATACAGAGTACACAGTTCATGTGTGGGCCCGTGTGGCTGGTGTGGACGGGGCCCCTGCCTCTGTGGTTGTTAGGACTGGTGAGTGGGTCCTGGCTAGCTGTTAGCCATGCCTGATTGGCTACCCTGCCCTCCCTGCTCTAGCTACCCCCTCCTGTGACTGCCCACTCACAATGACCTCCTGATTGTCCCACACTGCCTACTTCCTGGTTCTGGTGCCTACACTGACATGTCTATGCTAACCTCACTATGATCTCATACCACTCCTGGGTTGACCCCGCCACATGCTACTCTGCTCTCTTCAGGTCACCTAGTGGCTCTTGACTCTTGCCTTGCCTCTACCTCCAGCCCCTGAGCCTGTGGGCCGAGTGTCAAAGCTGCAGATTCTCAATGCTTCCAGTGATGTTCTGCGGGTCACCTGGGTGGGCGTCGCTGGAGCCACACACTACAGATTATCCTGGGGCCGGAGTGAAGGTTTGGCCTCCAGGTCCCTCCCCTGTCCTTCCTAGCCAAGATTGCCTCCAGCAGTCAACCACTCTGACCCCTGACTCCTGTTTTACGGTCACTTGGCCAGGTGGTCCCTCAAGAGAGCAGATACTCCCAGGAAACACCGACTTTGCAGTGATCCAGGGCCTTGAAGGTGGCGTCAGCTATTCCGTGCGCGTGACTGCATTTGTTGGAGATCGTGAGGGCGCGCCAGTCTCCATTGTTGTGACCACACGTAGGTGGAGTTGGGGCCAGTCACTAACGTGCCTTGGATGGGTGGCCTTGACAGTTTGGGAACAGGGTTTATGTTTGGGATTTGAAAAGAGACCAGGGATTCTTGAGCTGTGGGGTGGGATCTAAGGAGGAGGAATGAAGTCTGGGATAGGCAGAGGGGCCGGTTGGGGGCCATGTGGTGCTAGAATCTGTCTAGGATTGGCTCAGGGACCTGTGGGGTGCTGACCCCCTCCAATTCCCGCGTTTTCTTTTAAGCACCTGAGGCGCCCCCATCCCTGAGGACCCTTCATGTAGTTCCCCGCGGAGAGCATTCGCTGTGGCTGCGCTGGGAGCCAGTACCCGGGGCACACGGCTACCATTTACGCTGGCGCCCTGAGGGTGAGAAGTGTCCCTGGTAGGGGGTCAGGGACCAATGGCACCAGGGATATGACGCTCAAGTCAGTGGGTGGGCAGTGTTTGTGAGGTAATGAGGACAATGGTGGGTGGGGTCTGTCTGTGGAGGTGTGAGGGAGTCTATTACTGGGACAGCAATGTGGATGGGATCAGTTAGTGGGGCAGGCAGTCAGTGAAGTAGGCAGGGTCAGGGTGAACGGGCAGGATGGGTCGTAAGATTGGACGGATCAGGAAGATCAATCAGTAGTGGGATCATTAGTGTAGTTGGTAGTATCTGTTCCCCTACCACAGCCCCCCTTCACCTGCCCCAGGTGGCCAGGAGCAGTTCCAAAAACTGGGCCCCGAGGTCAGCAGCTATCACCTGGATGGACTGCAACCAGGGACCCTATACCAAGTGTGGCTGAGTGCCCTGGGGCCCGCTGGAGAAGGGCCCCCCACGGAAGTGACTTCACGTACAGGTGAGCGCACAGGCATACCCCTCCCTGCCTTGGTATGACCTCTCTCACTGGTGATCCACCCTGATTTTCTGGGACCCCCTAACCCTGAGTAACTTCTGCTGTCACCCCTCTGCCATCCCTGGAGCTTGGTGACCTCAACAAACCCTCCCTTGACACTTACTTCACTAAGACAACCCGCTGGGGTATCTTATCTCTCTCCAAATAAGACCCAGGAGATAGCTTTTGATCCCTGATCTTTAATTTCTCCTCAGAGTCCCCTCACATCCCTAGCACTGAGCTGCGTGTCGTGGGCACCTCGATAGACTCGGTGACTCTGACCTGGACCCCAGTGCCTGGGGCATCCAGCTACATTTTGTCCTGGCGGCCACTTCGAGGCCCTGGACAAGGTGAGGGAGAGGCTGGGGTTGGGGTGGACTGGCATTTGGGGTGCCCCGGAGGGTCTACTGTTTAACCAAGCTCTGTCTGCTGCAGAGGTGCCTGTGACCCCACAGACACTGCCGGGGACTTCAAACTCTCAGCAGGTGATAGGGCTAGAGCCTGGTGTCCCCTACATCTTCTCCCTGACACCTGTCCAAGGTGGAGTGCAGGGCCCAGAGGCCTCTGTCACACAGAACCCAGGTATGGTGGACATAGTAGGAGGGGCCTCAGAGGGTGACTGGATGGGCAGACCACTTTAGTGACTCAGCCCCCTTCCTGCAGCATGCCCCCATGGCCTGTTAGATGTGGTGTTCCTGGTGCACGCCACTCGGGACAATGCACACCGCTCGGAGGCCATGAAGAGAGTCCTAGAGCGTCTTGTGTCTGCAGTTGGGCCCCTTGGGCCACAGGCCGTCCAGGTTCGGTCCTAGAGGCAGCCCAGACTTCTGTCTCTCCCTGTCTAGACTCCACACCAGCTACCACTTCTACCCTCTAGTGGTCCAGGCTTTTCCCAGCTCTCCCCCAGACTCCAGTCTCACTGGCTGGTTGGCTCCCTATCTTACAGTCATTGCTGATCCCTCATAGTTCAGCTTTACTTGTACACTCCTAGGCTCTGTGTCTCCCACCCCACCCTCATGGTCCCCCATCCCTTCACTGTCTTCCCCTTATCATCCCCTAGGTGCTGTGCTCTTGTGTCCTCCATCCCTGTAATCTTTCCCCAGGAGGTTCTGTGTCCCCTACCCCTGTTCTGTCAGCCCCTCAGATCTTGTTTTCTCCCCCATTCCTGCTGTATCATGCCCAGGCCCTGTGTCCCCTATTCCTGCTCTATCATCCCCCCAGGCTCTGTGTCCCCTCATCCCTGCTCTATCATTTCTTCCCACTCCCAGGATTTCTATCTTCTCCTTCTCCAGGTTGGCCTCCTGTCCTATAGTCACCGACCCTCCCCACTGTTCCCACTGAACAGTTCCCACGACCTTGGCATCATCTTACAAAAGATCCGTGGCATCCCCTTCATAGACCCAAGTGGGAACAACCTGGGTGAGGACTGCCGTAGGCATGGGTTCTTGGGCTTCTCCATCTGGAGCTTGATGCCCAGGCTTCTGACATGTCCTTCCTCCTAGGCACCGCTGTGGTCACAACTCACAGGTACCTGTTGGCTCCGGATGCTCCTGGGCGCCGCCGGAATGTCCCGGGGCTGATGGTTCTGTTAGTGGATGAACCCTTGAGAGGTGACATCTTTGGCCCTATCCGTGAGGCCCAGGCTGCTGGTGAGGAGTATAGTTGGTGGCTATAGGGTCTCGGGGTAGAGGTACTCAACAGCGGGGTTATAATGTAGGTTGTTGGATCCCTTCTTTAGGACTCAGTGTGATGATATTGGGCTTGAAGGGAGCTGACCCAGAGCAGCTACGGCGCTTAGCGCCAGGCATGGACCCTGTCCAGACTTTCTTTGCTGTGGATGATGGTCCAAGCCTGGACCAAGCAGTCAGTGATTTGGCAACAGCCCTGTGTCAGGCAGCATCAAGCACCCAGGTTTGGAAGATACCTGTGAGGGACTAGGTGGGGAAGGAGAGGGGATCTGAAGCTTCGTGGTAGAACTGTTTGGCCTCAATGAGATCCTATGTCCACAGAAACAGCCAGAGCCTTGCACGATTCAGTGTCCAAAGGTAAGTGTCCAAGGCTGAGAGAAGGGGCGAGGACACATTGGGCCAGCCAGCTCTGACTCTGACCCTCATCAACACATCTTTCTCCAGGGCCAGAAGGGAGAACCTGGAGAGATTGTGAGTGTTCCTGGTGGGAGTTGGAGAATGGGTGGGTGATCAGTTGGGGTAGGGTGAGATTGGGAGCACAGGGCTTATCGGTCACTCTTTTTAGGGCCTGACAGGGCAAGCTGGGTCCCCTGGCCTCCCGGTAAGTGCCTCTTCACATCTCTTCTGTGTCCTGACTAGATTACTACCTCCTCACTTGCTCTCTTCTTTCAGGGCAGGGCCGGAGATCCAGGCCCCCAGGGCCCCCCTGGAAGATCCATTGCAAAGGGCGAGAGGGTGAGTATGGAGAACACTGAGCATCCCCAAGGGCCATCCTCGAAGTTTTCTCAAGGTTTTTAGGAGAGAAGGGAAAAACAGAGTTAGAATCACAGGATAGTACTAGAAATTTTAAACCGTTATCAGAGACTTTTAAGGGCAACCAGTGGGATTTTTGAGGTCCCCTAGAGAGCCTGGCTAGAAGTTCTAGGTTCCAGAGGAAGGGCAGACCTTCTGCCTCATCGCTGTCCTTGTGTTCTGAGTGGCCATTTCTCTGCCCCACTATTTACTCAAGGGTCTGTGGGGTGAGAGGTCCAGATGAAGTACAGTTTGGGCTCCTCCAGTAAACCAGGGGTGTTGAGAGAGGGTCCCTGACCTCTTTGCCTCCTTAGGGCTTCCCTGGAGCAGATGGACCTCCAGGCAGCCCTGGAATTCCTGGGACCCCTGGCCCAAAGGTAAGTCTTGCCTTTGTGGGTCACTTGGTGGACTCCTGGCTTCATCTTAGTGACACTGCCTGAGTGGGGTGAAGAGGTGGCTGACTGTGACATCCATTTATAGGGCTCCTCAGGGTGGCCTGGTCCTCGTGGGGAAACGGTAAGGTGCCTTCCCTGTTTCCCTGGCATCTTCCCAGGGTTCTTTCTGTATGGTGGGAAGCCTCAGGGCTGGGACAGTATTGGCCCATAAGGGGCTACCTTGGGACTCACCTAAGCCCACTCTCTGCTCTGTTTTGCCTCCAGGGAGAGCGAGGGCCTCGAGGCCCGAAAGGGGAGCCGGTAGGTAAAAGGGGAAGGGAGGGAAACCAGGGTGTTCTAGGGAGGACTAGACCCCTAAATCCTGATAAGAACCCAACCTCAGTAAAACCACACCATGAATCCTGCCCACTCCTCTCTGTCCCTGCAGGGGGAGCCTGGACAAATTACTGGGGGTGAGGGCCCAGGAGTTCCTGGGCAGAAAGGAGACCAGGGCCCTTCAGTAAGTTCTAGGGTATATAGGGGTGGGTGCTGTGTACTTGGGGGACTATTAGGATGAGAAAGAGTGAGGATCCCTGGAGTTGTATTTTATACCTTGTCTATTCCATCAGGGCCCCCCTGGACCTCGTGGCCCATTGGGGGATCCAGGACCACGTGGTCCCCCAGGACTTCCTGGGACATCTCTGAAGGTGACAGCTTGAACCCCAGATGGTCTCATGACCTCCATGTGACCCATTGACTTGGTGATCCCATTTGAGCCCCACACAACCCCTTCTGGTTGCTCAGAGCCCATGTGACCCTTTCATCCCACCCTAAGACTTCTCAGTTCCCTTAGAATCTTGTAACTCAATTAGACCCTTGACCTCTCATCCCTCTTGGTATCTTGGGGAAGTGTGGTCCAGGATCATGGGATCATCATCTTTTTTTTTTCCAGGGTGACAAAGGTGATCGTGGGGAACGGGTAAGTAGGACAAGGTAGGCTGGGGGTATCTTGCGGTCTGATCCCCTGTCTATCTCCTAACCTGGTATTCTCTTCCAGGGCCCTCCTGGACCAGGTCGTGGTGATACAGCTCTAGGGGAGCCAGGAGAGCCGGTGAGGGGGCCTTAAGACTCTGTCTGGGAACCTGGGCATTATGCTTTGCTCAGGGGTATAAGTAGAAGGAGTGGCTGGGCTTCATAGCTCTGGACTCACTTTTTCACTCCTTTCCTCTTAGGGCCTTCCTGGAAGCCCTGGACCTCAAGGCCCAGCTGGCCCCTCTGGAGAGAAAGGAGAGAAGGTAGGAGACCTAACCTCTCAGTGGTTCTGTTCTGAATTGCGGGGCTATGGGTGCTGGGGGGCAGGGCCTCCTCTGGGTCTTCCTATTCGTATGTTTCTCCTTTAGGGTGATTGTGAGGACGGAGCCCCAGGCCTCTCAGGACAACCTGGGACCCCAGGTCAGCGGGTGAGTAGAGTGTAGGGTCCAAGAGTTCTGAATATGGTGGGCATAGCTCTAGCTCCCTGCAATCCAACTCTATGAACCTCCAAATTAATCCTTTGCAGGGTCCACGAGGACCTCCTGGAGATGTTGGCCCCAAAGTGAGTGCCGTTTGAGGAAGATTGGGCTTGGGGTGGTTAGAGGGTCAGGGTTTGGAGATAAGACTTCTTTCCAGGTCAAAGCAGGGACTAGTCTGAGTTTGAGACACATTGTCCCAGTTTTGACGATGTGACCCACATCTCTTCAGGGTGACCGGGGACTGACAGGGAACGTGGGTGAGACTGGAGATAAGGTGAGTATAGCCCAGGGGGCGCTTAGGAACTTGGAGGAGTGGGGCTGTCCTCAGCTCTGAACTGTCTTGTTCCATTAGGGTGAACGTGGAACTCCTGGCCCAGTGGGGCCCCAGGTGAGGCCACTGACCCCAGTACCAGTGTCAGCAGACCTGGGCTCTGTGTCTCCTTTGGGTTCTGACTTCTTGCCCTTGATTCTGACTGCTCTTATACACCTCCATCCCTTTTTACATGAGCCCTGCTTCCTTCTGATGCAGTTTCTGACCTTCAACATTAGGGTAGGGACTCAACTTCTAACCTTCTGATTCCTGCTGAACTGACCTTGACTTCCATTCAGCTGTTCTCTGTCTTCCTACTGAGTTTGACCCCTGCTGATCAATACTGTCCTGTGACACCTCTTCAACCTGACCCCGGCTTCCTGCCCTTATTTCCCACAATCCCTCTGCCTCCACTACACTCACCTGGGTCAACATTTCGGTTCCTCTTTCCCAGGGGCTGCCAGGGGTTGCAGGGCGTCCTGGACCCGAGGGTCCTGAGGTGAGTCTCCCAATGTGGCAGGACTAGGAGTGGGGCATTCCATGTGTTCCTCCTCTCCCCTAACCCTTCTGGGCTCACACTTTCTCCATGTGCAGGGACCACCAGGACCCACTGGCCGACGAGGAGAGAAGGTAGGTTGTCATCTTGGGCGCCAGTGCTCCTGGTGCCAGGGACATGGTAGGTGGGACACTGGCTTCCTAGGTGGTTCTCTGACTCATCCTTGTCTCTCTCCTCTCATCACAGGGGGAGCCTGGTCCCCCTGGGGACCCTGCAGTGGTGGTAGGTGAAGAGAAGATAGAAGTCAAGCACAGAACAACCACTTAAGCAGTACATACCTCTGACCCTAGGCTCAGAGCTCTGGGACTCTCATTATACTATGACATACCTCTTGACTCTGGGACTCTACTCTGGTGATCCCATGACCCCAGGACCCCATGCAGGACATTTCCCATACCCCCTGCCTGCTCCCAGCTGTCATATTGAGACCTCTAGGCCGGGCTGAAGCGCTGTGCCTCCCAGTTTTATATAACCCCTATTCCAATCCAAGCTGTGGTCCTATGGTCCCCAGACAGTACCGAGCTGTGTCTTTATTTATTTTCAGGGACCTACAGGTGCTGGAGCCAAAGGAGAGAAAGTAAGTCTGGTGTGGGCGAGGGGAGAGGGTTGAGCTCAAGGTCAGAGGACTTGCCTGGAGGTCACGAGGTTGCAGTGTAATTGCTGGGCTAGGGAAGTCTCTGGATCCTGGGGCTGGGGCTAATGGTCTTTGTTTCCTCCAGGGAGAAGTGGGGCCCACTGGCCTCAGAGGAGCCATGGGAATCAAAGGGGAACGGGTGAGTAAAAGGAAAGTGTTGAGCAAGTGGGGGCCATGAAGGTTGTAGTCCTTCTGCCTTTTGATCCTTTTCTTCACAGGGACCCCCAGGGTTGGTTCTTCCTGGAGACCCTGGCCCCAAGGGAGATCCTGGAGACCGGGTGAGTAGCTGCAAGACATGGGGATGAGGTGGGATCTGGGAGCTCCAACTAAGTCCTTTCTCTCTTCCTCCAGGGTCCCACCGGCCTCACTGGGAGAGCAGGCCCCCCGGTGAGTACTTCTGACTGTGTTTCTGGGATCTCAAAGGCAGCTGTGTCGTCTGCCTTACTCCCACCATCTCCATAGGGTGACTTGGGGCCTCCTGGAGAGAAGGGAGACCTTGGGCGGCCGGGACTCCCAGGACCTGTTGGTCCCCGAGGACGAGATGTAAGTGGACTGAAGTTGGGGGAGTTGTGGAGGAGGGGTAGGGGCATAGCTGGCATCACTGGGGGTCTCGGGGCCAGGGCTGACTTTCATGTCTTATAGGGTGAAGTTGGAGAGAAAGGGAATGAAGGCTCCCAGGTAAGACATCCTCACTGTGGTTTCTGATGCTCTACCCTTCACTGTTATCCCAATGGGCTGAGGGCTCCACCAGGTCATCTAGTCCATCCCCTTGCCTCTTGTCCAGCCTGTGCTCAGCCCCTTCTCAGCCTCACTCTGACTTATTCTGACACTAAATCACTTGCACTCTCCACCCAGGGTGACCCCGGTTTGCCTGGAAAAGCTGGCGAGCGTGGTCTTAGGGTGAGGCTTGTCTGGGGGAAGAAAGGAGGTGATGGGAGAACCTATAGAAAGTATGTACAAAGGTGATGGGAGACTGAGGGAGACATGGAGTGATGGGAGGGTGTGGAGGGGTTGGGGGTGACAGGAGACTCTACAAAGGGCATGGAGTGATGGGAAACTCTGGCATGGATTTTGAGAGTGATGAGGAGCCTAGGACAATTTGGGGGGTTATGAGAGAGCTTGCAAAGTGCTGGGAAGGCCTGTCTTAGACCAGCTGCTCTTCCTAGGGGTTACCTGGAGCTCGGGGGCCTGTGGGAGATAAGGGAGACCAGGGAGACCCTGGAGAAGATGGACGAAATGTGAGTACCAACCTCAACTCCCCAACCATCCAGTTCCCAATGCCTGCCTAGTCCTGCCACCCTGTACCATTCACACTTCCTGTGAACTCTTCATCATATACCCCAAAGACCACCAGATTCCCATGAGTCCTTATGATGCTTCTAAAGCTCCCCCAATGCTGAATGACCATGACCATGTGATTATCTACAGGGCATCCCTGGACCCTCTGGACCCAAGGGTGACCGTGGGGAACCGGTGAGTAATGCCAGGGTTCTGGGCTTGGAAGGGATGGAGGTTTCCCGAATGTGCTCTGGCCAACATCTCGCAAGGGACCTGGAGGTCAAGGTGGGAAGCACTGATGGCCACTCCAGACCTGGTCTGTCCTCAGAGACTTGGCTTTGGGCTGCTACAGAAATTTGGGACCAGAGTAGAGCCTGGAAGCAAAACTGAGCTTTGACTTAGGACCTGAGAGCATCATTGACCATAATCATTTTTTTTCTCAGGGTCCCCCTGGGCCTCCTGGACAGCTGGTAAGGGTTGAGCTGGGTCTGGTTCTTTGTCATCTCTTGTCTGCCCCTACTGGCTCCACACTTTGTGCCCTTGCTCCTTAACACTGACTCCTATTTGCCCCACTGCCCCATTTTCTACCTCCACCGATCCCTGCACCCCTCACTGACCCCATCTCCTCACTTGCCCTACCCCTCCTGATGAATCATTCTCCTCACAGGTGGACACGGGACTTGGACCCAGAGAGAAGGTATACGGGTCAGTGGGTAGAGTGAAGCTGTGACAGGCTTGGCCTCTGAGACCCAGTGCCAGTCCATCACCAGGCTCGTCTCTGCTGTAGGGAGAGCCTGGGAGCCGTGGACAGGAGGGTCCTCGAGGACCCAAGGGTGACTCTGGCCCCCCAGGAGCTCCTGGAGAGAGGGTGAGTATGGCTGGTCCTGGGGGATGTGTGGGCCTAAGGAAGCTGCTCTAACTCCTTCCTCACCCTGTCCTTAGGGCGCTGATGGACTTCGGGGGCTCCCAGGCCCACAGGTGGGTAATGCACTTTGCCTCATCAGCCTACAGTCCCCAGCTTGTTCCCACCTCTCATCTGTCTGACCTTGTTCCCTCCAGGGGGATCCAGGTGTCCGAGGTTCAGCAGGAGAGAAGGTGAGAGGGTGTGAAGGCTTTCTGGGCTCTTACATCAGTCTCAGTCTTCGAGGCCCCTCACCACTCTTTCCTCCTCAGGGGGACCGGGGCCCAACTGGACTGGATGGCCGGAACGGACTGGATGGGAAACCAGGAGCAGCTGGCCCTTCTGGTCTGCCCGTAAGTTACCCCTTCACATAAGAACCCAGCCTCATCTGGAGTTTCTTGGCCTTAATGAGCTTTGGGGCCACATGAGTTAGTTGCCTGTGTCTTCTCCCAGCCCCCTGCCTAGGTGGGAGATGTTACCATCATGTGGCCTTGAATTCACAGGAGCTAATGCTCCTGCTAGAGCCCCTGGGTGGTATAAATGGTTAATGCACTTGGCTGCTCACAGAAAGTCTACCCAGAGGCTCTTCAGAAGAAAGACCTGGCTATCTATTTCTGAAAAATCAGCCATTGCAAACCCTATGATGAGCACCATGAAGAGGAGTTGACTCAAGGGCAACTGTTATTTCCTTTAAATGACCTTGTCAGTGTTCAGTGTGCCTAACCCCACGACCATGTGAACTCCTTGACTTTGAGTTTCTCTTCAGGGCACGACAGGCAAAGCCGGGGAGCCAGGGAGAGACGTAAGTGAGAGGGGTTGCTGGGGCAGAGGGCGGCTCAGGGGTCCAGATATCCGGTTATTGTCACGGCATCAGCAAGAGTTGTAGTTAATGCTCTTGAGGAGGTTCTGACTCATAGCAACCCTGTACAGGGTCTCTGAGGAGCAGCTGGTGGGTCTGAACCACTGACATTGAGGTTAGAAGTCTAGTACTTACCCTACAACATCACACCAGGACTCAGCAAGCATGTTATTGTTGTTAAGTGCCGTCGAGTCGATTCCTATCCATAGCAACCCTGTATAGGGTTTCCAAGGAGTGACTGGTGAGCTTGAACCACCGACCTTGCGGTTCAAATGGCTTTGCAGTCTGGCACATTAACCCACAGCGCCATACCAGGACTCCACACCCAAGCATTGTTGTTACGTGGGTTCCGGCTCATAGCGACCTTGTACAGGGTTTCTGAGGCTATAAATCTTTATGGGAGCAGAAAGCCTCATCTTTCTCCTTCGGAACAGCTGGTAGTTTCGAACTGCTGACCTTGCGGTTTGCAGCCAGATTCGTAACCACTATGCTACCACAGCACCCAAGCAAAGGAGGAGTTTATTCATCCCTGTCTTTGGGAGGTAGCTTAGTTCTTGGCAGTAGGGTACCACTTTCTGACCTTCGCTCTGCCTTGTGACCCTCAAGTTCTGGGGTTTCATCCCTTGGGCATCTCAGCAGGGAATTGTCCCCCTGACCCTGAGATTCTGTGCACTGGAGGAGGATCTTAGTGGGTTCCACTCAGTCCATGGGATGTGCCCCAGGGGACATCTCAGTGACCCTCTCAATCCTAGCAAAGACTTTTTCCAGGGGCTTCCAGGCCTCCGAGGAGAACAGGGTCCCTCTGGCCCCCCAGGACCTCCTGGAGCACTGGTGAGTCCAGGCTTTCACCTTACCCTCTTGTCCCAGGGTCACCTTCACTCCAGCGCTGACCTCTGATCTGTTCCCACAGGGAAAGCCAGGCGAGGATGGCAAACCTGGCCTGAATGGGAAAAATGTGAGTGTCTAGGGCAGCCGATGGAAAAACTCACCAAGAAGCATTATCATATATATAAACAGCCCAGATGTGCAGATTCACATGAGGCACACATGCAGACCTGTGGACCAACACTATATGCCTAGTCCAGACATGCACATATGTCTTGAAACACAGTTCCAGATGAACACACATGCAGCCTTGCAGGCAGACACGTAATGAGTAAAATGGACATGCCAACACAGGTGAGATAAGCTACAGCTACAGGTATAGACTAAGAGCTAGAGACGCAAGTTGATACCTGCAGAAATACGGCATGAAGATTCATTCAGGGACCCTTGGAGACACGTTGACATTCAGGCATCTCCACCTAGGCTCATAGATATGTGCGAATACACAGACTTAGAGCCACATGTGGATCCATGCTGAGATACGACAAGACACACATCCTTAACACTGACACATGGCACATACTGAGACATACTGACACATGCATTTATGCTCATATGCACACAGAGATCCACACAAGACTTACAGACAGATGTCACCCCACACAGACAACTCTCCAGGCACCAAGGACATGCAGACACATATCCATCCTATGTATACACCTCTAAGTCTGTGCAAAGATGTGCAGATAGGCTGAGTCACACAGTGACCCACCAGGATGACAGACTCATGTGTATACATGCTAAGACATGCACATAAACATACATACACTCTCAACAACCTGAAAATGCATGGATTTGGAGTTCTGTTTAGAAATCCAGAGGCCAGAGGCTACATGTAGTGATATGCTGAGGTGAGCAGACACATGCAGACACACCCATAGACATGCAGCAGCTCACTTAGAGGTCACGCAGAGGCGTGGAGCAACAGGCACAGACAGGCAGTCATGTGAGATCTGCCAAAACAAGAGCCTTACAGTCAGACGCTGGAGACAGTTTGAGCTGATGTACATCCTCTGCCCACAGGGAGAAGCTGGGGAGCCTGGAGAAGCTGGGAGAAAGGTAAAGCCCTTCTTCCTGGGGTCTGCTCCACCCTCGACTGGGGCCATGTCTGAAGCACCTTGTCTTTCTTAGGGAGAGAAGGGAGACTCGGGTACCCCAGGAAGAGCTGTAAGTACTGGAGTCTCCTCTGAGAGATAGAGTTTCACTCAGGAGTCTCAAGGTCCTGATGCTGTTCACATCCTCCACAGGGTTATGATGGCCACAAGGGGGAGCATGGAGCTCCTGGTAGCCCTGGGCTCCAGGGCCCCCCAGGCCCCCCAGGGCAAGTTGGCCCCTCTGGCCAGGTGAGTGTCCAGGATAATTCTGAGACTTGGGAGCAACAGGGGCCACTGAGATGTTATGATCCTGTGTGGTACCTTTGTCTTCTGTCATATCTCAGGGTTTTCCTGGTGTCCCAGGAAACACAGGCCCCAAGGTGAGTGTGCTGATGTTGAGGAGGAATGTGGTGAAGGGCTGACCAGAATTGGGAAGCATTTCCTCCTCCTGGCTGATTGTCCTCTATTCTCAGGGTGACCGTGGAGAGACTGGTTCCAAAGGGGAGCAGGTGAGGCCCCACCTTTTTCACTTGCCCAGGTGGCCACAGACTCGTATACAGATGCTTCACACATATGACCCACAGGTGGGTCCCAGCAGCTTGTCTCTTGGTCTCCCCAGGGCCTCCCTGGAGAGCGCGGCCTGAGAGGAGAACCTGGGAGCATGGTGGTGAGTGGATCTTGGGACGCCGCTCTTGACTCACTTTATTGTGATTTGGGTGAAAGTTTACAGAGCAAATTGGGTTTCCATTCTACAATTCACACACATTTTTTGAATTGTGGCATTGATTGAAACCCTCACAGTGCCACAGCATTCTTCCCATGTTCTCCCTGTGTTTCCTGTTACCATTTGTCCTTTTTTTCCTATCTCTTCTTGCTTTCTGAGCTTTGGTGGTGGTTGTTATGTGCCGTGGAGTCACTTCCGACTCACAGCAAACCTATACAGGGTTTCCAAGGCTGTAAATCTTTATGGGAGCAGAAAGCCTCTTTCTCCTGCAGAACAGCTGGTAATTTTGAAATGCTGACCTTAAGGTTCGCAGCTTGATTCAAGTTTTATCCCTGGGTAAAAGCTACCCTTTTGATATCAGATGGCTGATTGTTCTAAGTTCTGTGTATCTACCGGGTCTACCTTATAGGCCTGTCATCCATTTGACTGAAAGTTGAGCCATGGGGGCTGGCTCCTCTTTGACTATCTGTCACCTCTCCATCCCCTCGCCCTTCCCATGAGGCCCAAGTCCTGTTCTGTTTGTTCAGCCTCCCTGTCCCATTAGAGGTCCTATTACCTATATTCAGGGGAACCTGGGCCATAAGGACCTGCCAGAAAGGGTCTCCCAGCTTACTGTGGTCTTGAGCCAGACCTTAAAGAGTAGTGTGGACACTGGGGGGCAGTGTGGGGCAGGAGCCAGAGTTTTCTCCTCCATGGGCAGTTCCTCACTTAGCCTCTTTCCCCAGAATGTGGAGCGGTCACTGGAAACAGCTGGCATCAAGGTAGGTTGTTTCAGGGCTGGGAATGGGGTGGGTAGTGCTGCCGGGGGTGAGGTGTGGGGGGTGTGGGGGTGTTACAGTTTGGACCTTGCTCTCTGACTCCTTGCTGTGCTGTCTCTCAGCTGTCTTCTCTGCGGGAGATTGTGGATATCTGGGATGAGAGCTCTGGCAGCTTCCCGTCTGTGCCTGAAAGGCGGCGTGGCCCCAAAGGGGAGCCAGGAGAACGGGGAGCCTTGGGCAAAGAGGTGACTGGTGACCATTCTCGTGGGGTGGGTCCCATGGACGGACGGTGTGGTTTGAGTGGTCAGCAGCATGACTCTCCTGCTCCTCAAGGGTCCCATCGGCTTTCCTGGAGAGCGTGGGCTGAAGGGAGATCGTGGAGATCCTGGTCCTCAGGGGCCACCAGGCCTGGCTCTAGGGGAGAGGGGCCCCCCTGGGCCTCCTGGTCTTGCTGGGGAGCCTGGAAAGCCTGGGATTCCTGGACTGCCAGGTCGAGCTGGAAGTGCAGGGGAAGCCGGAAGGCCAGGAGAGCGGGTGAGCTGGGGCTGCCTGGGAGGGCTGGGAAGGTAGGACCAGGAGAGGCTGGACTCCCTGTGGACATAGCACCTATATTTACATTGCAGGGAGAACGGGGAGAGAAAGGAGAGCGTGGAGAGCAGGTAAGTTGGCATGGGGCATCTGGGGCAGGGATTCTATGGAGGCAATGTTGGGGCTACCACCCCATTTCCTTCTTTTCTGCAGGGAAGAGACGGCCCTCCTGGCCTTCCTGGACCCCCAGGCCCCCCTGGCCCCAAGGTGATCACCCCAGCCCTGCCCTGGATCTGTGTTTGCTGTCAGTAGGAGACTGTTGTCTTGGGCCCCAGAAGCCTCCATGGATCTCTGATCCTAGAACCCGCTGCAGCCCTATAATCTGTGATGATCCTTGATGTCTGTGACCTTGACCCTGTGCTTATAGGTGGCTGTGGATGAGCCAGGTCCTGAGATCTCTGGAAAACAAGGACCCCCTGGACTCAAGGGCACTAAGGTCAGTGTCTGGGATCCACCTGGGGGCCCCCTGCCATGGAACCAGGGCTTGACTTGATATCTCATCCTCACAGGGGGAGCCAGGCAGCGATGGTGACCGAGGCCCCAAAGGAGACAGGGTGAGGTCCCACCAAGCCTATGTGTCCCCTCTTTGTCCAGGGACATATCAGGGGTGGCGTGTGTGTGTACATGTTGCATGGAAGGAACTGGGGGCTCAGATATGACACTCCCCTTACAGGGTGTGCCAGGTGTCAAGGGAGACCGGGGAGAGCTTGGAGAGAGGGGACATGCTGGCATCCCGGTGAGTTCTTGCCCTAAAGGGCACACATGTGCAGGGACATGGCTCTTACATGCACGGCTGGGCTGTAATACCTGGGATTATCTATGGTGGGTAGAGATGGGTAGAGGAGAAGCCGGGCCTTGGGGCAAGGGCAGTGTGGCCTTCAACCTGTTCTCTATAGGGTCTACCAGGAGAACGGGGTGTGGCTGGACCTGAAGGGAAGCCGGTGAGTGGTGGCCCAGGCTCTGGGGGACAGCAGTCTTTAGGAACCTAAGCTTCTTCCAGCCTCTGCTACTTACCAGCTGCCGTCTGTGGGTGTGCTGTCTGACAGAGGTGGGCTGAGCCTGTGTGTGCAGGTGTTGGCTGTCTGGGAAGCTGGCTGAACCTGTGTGCTGTGTGAGAGAGACAGGCTGTCTATGTACAGAGGCAGTGACCAGAGTAGGAAAGGGCTGTGCCTGGGATGGGTGGAGGCCTAGGAGCTCTCCAGGCAAAGAACCACCCCAGAGGGCCTGACTAGCTGGGCACAGGCTCAAGTGAGGCCTAGGTAGAGGCTCAGTGTCCCCTTCTCTGTCTAGGGCCTGCAGGGTGAGAGGGGAGCCCCTGGCCCCGTGGTGAGTACCCTTTCTACCCTCATCGTGCTTGGCCTCTATGATGTACAATGTTGCCTCAGTGTCCCTGGTGGGGTGGGGCTGACTCTTCCCAGACTCAGACTCTTCAGTTTTCTTCAGCTTCTTTCTCTCCTTAACAGGGTGGCCATGGAGACCCTGGGCCACCCGGTGCCCCGGTGAGTGACAGAGGAGTGCCTGGTGGGGGCCAAGGAGGGATGGGATGGGCACTGGTCCCCACTGATGAGCCGTGCTTTGTTTATGTCAATCCCAGACCCAAACCCAGAACCCTGACCCATGTCCCCTGTCCTTGACACTTCTCTAGGGTCTTGCTGGCCCTGCTGGACCCCAGGGACCTTCTGGCCTGAAGGTGAGTGCAGGCCTGTGTATACGGGTTTGTGGATGGGAGGAGCCTCCATTGAGCTTTGTCTGCACTGTAGAGGATATCAGTCACTGCCCTGGATGAGGTCCTCTTGGATTCTGTGCATGTGGGCTTGGCATGGGCTTGGCGAGGAGGGGCTTCTTGTCCATCATGTAGCTTCTGGACTTTTGCAGGGGGAGCCTGGAGAAACAGGACCACCAGGACGGGTGAGTGGCCCAGTTCATGGGTCCTAACCACAGCAGGATGGGTGGGGTTGAAGTTGCCCTGAACATTTTCTCCCCTTAGGGCTTGCCTGGACCTACTGGGGCTGTCGGACTGCCTGGCCCCCCTGGCTCTTCAGGCCTTGTGGTAAGTGAGCCCCTTGTGATCCCTGAAGGAACACCATGCCTCTGCCCCCTGCATCCCATATTCTCCTGTGTCCTCCTTTGTCCCTTGCCTCATGTTCCCTGTCACATCTGACTTGTTCCTCCTTAGGGTCCGCAGGGATCTCCAGGTTTGCCTGGACAAGTGGTGAGTCCTAAGGGTTGGCATCTGGGTTTCAGGGGTCAGGGGTCAGTGGACAGGCTCCTCACAACTCCTTTCTCTCAGGGAGAGACGGGGAAGCCAGGAGTCCCAGGTCGTGATGGTGCCAGTGGAAAAGATGGGGACAGAGGAGCCCCTGGTGTGCCGGTGTGTTCTAGGAAGGCTTGCTGCAGGCCTGTTATGGGGTCCTGTGCCTGGCTGGGTGCCTGGAGGAAGAGGCAGGGTGCGGTAGAGGGGATGGGAGAGGGCTGAGTTCTTCACACCATTCTGCTATAGGGACCACCAGGTCTGCCTGGCCTTGTTGGACCCAAAGGAGAACCTGGACCCATGGGGGCTCCCGGACAGGTGATCTTTGACCCTGACTCCCACCTTGGCATCAATTCCTCTATCCCACTCCTCCTTTAGTTTCCACTTCCCATTTAGAGACTGCAGGGTGTGGTAGGAGACAGGAGGAGGCTGGTTACCTCACTCAGCATTTTTCCCCAGGTGGCGGTCGGGCCCCCTGGAGCAAAGGGTGAGAAGGTGAGTGTGTGCAGGCTTGGATGGAGGGGTCAAGTAGTGGGGGTCAAGTAGCCCACTGACCCCTACCCCTCCTTAGGGAGCCCCTGGAGGCTTTGCTGGAGACCTGGTGGGCGAGCCGGTGAGTATGGAACCTTTGACAGCAGGTAACCTTTGACCTTAGCTTACTCCTCATGACCTTTAACCTCCTAATCTGTCCCACATCTGACCCCTAGCCTTAGGCCTCTCTCCTTGAGTCTAGTCTGCCTGTGGCCCTGATGTTTCTGTTGCCCCCTGACCCCCATCTCTGCAGGGAGCCAAAGGTGACCGAGGACTGCCAGGTCTGCGGGGGGAGAAGGTGAGGGGGCCTGACCCAGGGTTTGTCCTGGGCAGAGACGGGTGAGGAGGGTGGCCAGATCTCCTCACTCTCCCTTCTGTGCAGGGTGATGCTGGCCGTGCGGGAGAGCCTGGAGACCCTGGGGAAGATGTGAGTTTGGGGTCTGGGCCAGTCTTGAGGAATGTAATGGTGGACATGAGGGGCCATTCTGGGGCCTGTGCATCTGTCTGAACCCCTGAGTCTGGCTGAATCTTCCAGCATTCCAAACCCTGCTCCTTAGGACACATAGGTGTCATGTGTCTTTTGCTTCCCCACTCCCAGGGCTGGAGACCTTGTCTGTATTTCCATGCATCTGTCCTTGGGCTGTGTTCTTCACCAAGTCTGAGTACATGTGTGATGTCCTGGTCAAAGGACACAGCTGAGTTCTTGTGGGGCTATCCTGGGCCATCTATTTCTAATCCTCCTGTCTCCCCAGCTCTGTTCCCATGAACTGAGTTCATGGTCACATCTAAACTGCCTGTAAGCGGACACATCTGAGTTTGCCTGAGTTCCCATGTACTCATGCTCTCATCTGTGTGTATCTGTACTCCACATGTCTGTACTCATGCCTGAACGCCCATGCCTCTGTGGTCACGTCCAATCTCCTGTGAGTCAGTCCTTGGTCACGATGTGTCTGTGCTCCCATAACTGTGATCACATCTGACCACCCTGGGAATGTTTAAACCATGTCTGAGGTCTGTGGTCATGTTCCTACCCTCTCAAATAGTGATAACTTTCTTTTTAGGGTCAGAAAGGGGCTCCAGGACTAAAGGGTCACAAGGTATCTATTCTCTAAAGTGTTCCTACTTGGGAGTAATGGCCTTGAGACTCTGAGCCTGGTCTGACACTACTTTCCCTCAAAGGGTGACCCAGGCTTTGGGACCCAGGGCCCCCCTGGGCCAACTGGTCCTCCAGGTATGAAGGTAGGTTGATGTCTACTACCAGTGGTGGGGGCAGCAGGCAGAGAGGCTCTGGAGGTGGAAGAAGAGGGGATTCTGGGACCATGCCTCCTTTTGTTGTCTCTGTTTCAGGGAGACTTGGGCCTTCCTGGGCCCCCTGGCAGTCCTGGTACCGTCGGGTTCCCTGGTCAGTCAGGTGTTCGAGGAGAGATGGGTCAGCCGGGCCCGAGCGGAGAGCGGGTAAGGGGTTGGGAGCAGCGTGTGGGGATTTGGGACTGGTTTTAGGACCTCTGAATCCAAGGGTGTGGGGGTGGGGAGAGGGATCCCTGTTTTGGGGACTTCAGTCTTGAGGGGTGCAGGGAAAGGAGGCTTCCCAGGTCACTTTCTGCCTCTCTTGCCCCATTTTTCTGGTAGGGTCTGGCAGGTCCCCCAGGGAGAGAAGGGGCTCCAGGCCTAATGGGGCCACCTGGACCCCCGGGGTCAGTGGTAAGTAGAATTACCTCAAGGTCCCATGTGACTGCTTTCCTGTGTGTCAGAGTCTGGTCATATAAGGGCTTATACCAGAGACTCTGCTGCACTGCACAGCTGGGTACAGTGCAGGCCCTGAGGGGCAAGAGGACCCTCCCTTACTTATTTTGACCTGCAGGGAGCAGCCGGGGCCTCTGGACTTAAAGGAGACAAGGTAGGTAGGACAAGCCTGGCTCTTTCTTGTGTCCCTGCTGACTCCCTCTGACTTCTGCTGACCTCTGCCACCCCTGACCTGGATAACTTACACTGACCGCCCCATAATCCCATGTCCCCCATGACCCTCACTGACTTTCCATGACCCCACTGACCGTAATGACCTTGCACTCATCCCCTTCTATCCATCCCATTCATTATGGTATTTTGCTGATTTCCAGGGAGATCCTGGAGCAGGGCTGCCTGGAGCCCGAGGAGAGCGTGGGGAGCCAGGTGTCCGGGTAGGAATGTCCCAGGAGCACACTGGGGCTCCCATTATCACTGTCCTTGCCTCGACTCCCAACCTGTAAGTCACTGAGCCTTATGTCCCCATCCAGGGTGAAGATGGCCGGCCTGGTCAGGAGGGACCCCGAGGACTTATGGTGGGTCCTCTTGTGGGGAGCATCTTGCAGTGTGACTCCGACCCAAGGCACACTCAGCAGCCTGTCCCCCACATCCTGCATGTCCTCCTGACCTTATCTCCTGGGACACTCTCTAGTTCAGCCTTCCAACTATAGGTCCTCCTTGTCTACTCTCTAGTCCTCTTTGTTCCCTAGGCCCTCCAGCTTCCTGAGTTATGTCTCCTCTAGTCCCCCCAGTTTCCCTCAGCTCAGTCTTCTTCCCTCATATAGGGACTTCCAGGCAACCGTGGGGAGAAGGTGAGAATGTGGGAGAAGGTCCCAGGGGTTGAATGGGAATGGGATGGGTCTTCTCAATTTTGATGGAATTCGTGTTTTTCCACCCAATAGGGTGATGCTGGATCTGCAGGGTTAAAGGGTGACAAGGTGAGTATGGGCATGAGAGAGGACAGGGATGCGGGCTAAGGATACCCCTGATTCCTCTGACTGCCCCTTCCTACCCCTGCTCAGGGTGACTCAGCCATGATTGTGGGGCCTTCGGGACCACAGGGTGCCAAGGGGGATACGGTGAGTGGACCTGGTCCCATGTGGAAACTGGGTCTCTCTGAGATATGGGAGGGGCTGCTATGGGGCTGGGCACAGGGATCTGACAGCACATACCCTCAGAGTGAGGGAGCCCAGCCCCTAACCCTAACTTCTGACCCCTGGCCCAGGGGGAACGAGGGCCTCGGGGAATAGATGGTGACAAAGGACCTCGGGGAGACAGCGGGATTCCTGGAGAGCAGGTATGAGGAAGAGGGTGGGGCCTTTGGGTTGTGGGAGCCCTCTGGGGCGGGGGGGTCTTTGAGGGCCGCAGAAGAGCTTTATGGGAGTTCTAAGGGAAGAGTTTCTGTAGGTGGCAGCAACTCTTTGGGGTGCTGTACGGATGGGGCTCTGAGGAGGGCTCAGGGGCCTCAATGAGATGTTAGAAGGGGCATGGGGCTCCATGAGGGGATCCGTGGGAACAGAAGGAGGATCCTTGGGTTTTAGGGGTGCTCCAGGTGTGGTTATGGGGCCAGAGGCATGGGGAGGGACAGGAGTTGGGGCCCTGGAGAGACTAATGAGCCATTTAATAGTTGCAGCCCCCAGTCCCACCCTGCAGTGGTATGGGCAGGAAGGGGTGGGGATTGGGGACTGGGACAGTCATGGGAGTGGTGTCTCACCCCAGTTGGTGGGTTCCAGCTACATTCCCATCCTCTAGCCTGGTCTAGTCCTGATTGTGTCCCTCTGCTGATCACTCCACAGGGTGTCAAAGGGGAGCCTGGTGACAAGGGCTCAGCCGGGTTACCAGGAATACGTGGACTCATGGGACCCAAGGCAAGTCCTCCCCACAGGTATAGGCACAGAGTCACATGCCACACACACCTGTCCCCTGGGTGGCCTCTGAACCAGGGTTTCCAGCCTCCCCCAGCTTTCCACATTCGTGTTCACACATGATTTATATGGGGCCTGGGCCCTGGTTACGAGTCACCTGGTGGCTATATGAGCAGCAGATATATCAGCACACAGGAACACTCATGTCCTGAAGGGCCACCTCCAGTACCCTCTGGCCTTTGTTTCCCATAGGGTGAGTCTGGTGCTGCAGGGATCCCTGGAGACCCGGTAAGATGCCCCTACTCCTACAGGGAACCATCTGTTCCTACAGGGCCCTCCCTACCCCTGGGGTGGTTTCTGCCCATGTGGTGGCCTTTAACCTACAGTGGCTCAGTGGTGGCTTCATGCTACCCAGGGCACATCACCGCCACATTAATCATCTATGATGATTCTGCCTACATGGTGACCTCTACCCATGACAACTCTTGCCCCCAAAGAAAATCCTGCTTTCCCAGGGTCCCTGACCTCCCATGTGACTGCTGCCCCCATGGTCTTCCCTCTCACTAAATCAGGGTAATTGTCTTTGGTCCCTCACTGACCTCACACTGACTCCTTTACCTTCAGGGACCCCCAGGAAAAGATGGATCCCCTGGTGTCCGAGGGAACAAAGGAGATGCTGGCTTCATGGGCCCACGGGGCCTCAAGGTGAGTAGAGAAATGGATTTTTGTTGTTGTTGTAGGCCCTGATGTTGGAGAGTGAGGTATTTGGAGTCTGAAGTCCGAGACATGGGGTCAGATGTTGGATTATCTGGATTGAGTTTGGGGTGTTAGATCAGAGGTTGGAGTGTCTAGGGCCACTTTGAAGATTTGGGGTCAGGGTGAATGCCATAGAGTGAGATATCAGGAAGTTGGGTGTTTACCTGCTTTTTCTCCCTTAGGGCGAACGGGGAGTGAAAGGTGCCTGTGGCCTGGATGGAGAGAAGGGAGACAAGGTACAGATGTGATGGGGGAGGAGGAGGGCCACAGGGTTTATAGCCTAAGGCTCACCCTTCCACCTGGCACCTGCAGGGAGAAGCTGGTTCCCCAGGCCGCCCTGGCCTAGCAGGCCGCAAAGGAGAGCTGGTGAGTGTGGGGTAGATCTAGAATGAGGGAGGGGCACATGAGCCAGGGCCCAGCTCATGACTTCTCTTCTCCAGGGGGAGCCAGGTCTGCCGGGCCAGTCGGGGCCCCCCGGAAAGGAGGGCCTGATCGGTCCCAAGGTACAGGGTCTCTGGGAGGTCAGGGTAGGGCAGAGGAAATCACAGTGGGTTCATGAGGGTTTGGGGCCAGAGAAACTTGTGGAAGGTTAGGATATTGAGGAATGGAGTGGGGCTGGTCTTGAGGTTTCAGGGTGGGTTTGGATCATAGGGTCAGGGATCATGGAAATGTAGGATTAGAGGATGGAGCGAAAGGCAGTAGGGTAATGTGCATCAGGACAGGGGGTAACAGTGGGTGGGGTCAATGTGGGTAGGTAGGAGTGTCCATTTAAGGGAAGTAGGTAGAGTTCAGGCAGAGAATGTTAACAGTGGCGAAGTGGGGTGAGGGTCCTGGGCTGATGGCATCACAGGCAGTTGGGTTGAGGAAATTGTGGGGGCTTGAGCTGAGGGAGGTCAGGGTGGAGGGTGTCTCATGCTGTCTCTGTCCCTAGGGTGACCGAGGCTTTGATGGGCAGCTAGGACCCAAGGGTGACCAGGGTGAGAAAGGAGAGCGGGTGAGTTGACCAAGGAGACCAAGGTCATCGTAAATTGAGGGGAGCGTATTCCCTGGAAATGGATCCATTTTGGGGTGCTCTGATCATTTACCTTGATCTATCTTTCCCAGGGAACCCCAGGAATGGGAGGCTCCCCAGGCCCCAGGGGCAATGATGGTTCTAGTGGTCCACCTGGGCCTCCTGGAAGTGTTGGTCCCAAAGGTCCTGAAGGACTTCAGGGCCAGAAGGTAAGAGGCCCCCACTCTGACCTCTGACCCCATAACAACCCTGACCCTTATAACCTTGCTGACCTTTGATCTGCAACCCAACCCCAAATTTCCCTGACCAAACCTCTGAATCCATGATCCTTAACTTGCCTGACTTAGGGCTCCATTGTTTCTGATGCTGCTCCTTGGTCCTTATGTCTGACAGGGTGAGCGGGGACCTCCTGGAGAGAGTGTGGTGGGGGCTCCTGGGGCCCCTGGGACCCCTGGCGAAAGAGGGGAGCAGGTGAGTGAGGACTCTCAGGCTTGGGGGTCAGGAACTGGAGTGACCTCTGGGGTCCCTGAGATCAGAAGTTACAACCTGGTCCTGTCTGTTACACATAGGGACGGCCAGGGCCTGCTGGTCCCCGGGGTGAGAAAGGAGAAGCTGCGCTGACCGTGAGTGTGGGTGGGCTGAGCCCTGACACCTGGCTTGCTGCTCTCCCTCCATGACCCCTGCATCATGTGTCCCTTGTCCTCCCTCTGATCCTTGGGTTCTTCCTGTTGCATGTGGTCTTGTCTCCCAGGAGGATGACATTCGGGGTTTTGTGCGTCAGGAGATGAGTCAGCACTGCGGTGAGTGGGGTCAAGCCCAGAATCTCCAAGGACCCATCCCCACCCCACCCCATCCCATCCCAGCCTACCTAGACAGGGGAAGGCAGCGTCCTCAGTACTTAGAGGTGGCCAGAAACCAAGAAGATGGTCAGCTATTCAGAAGGGTATGTTTGCTAATGGGCAGACATGCTAGTGGGACAGCCCTAGGCAGACACACACTAATGACCAGAAGTGCTGGTGAACACATGTAAGGGCAGACATGCTGACAGACTTTCCTCAAACGGAGACACAGACAGATGTGGATAGACACATAGGACACTGACTGGTGCCTGCAGTAATGGGTGGGCACCCAAGGGGAAATGGGCCTGCCAGACTCACAGGTGGCAGCCTTGCTGCTAGAGAGGGGGTGATGAACACACAGGCAGAGTCCACAGACGGAGAGTTGCATAGACCCTGATAGATGGCCACACCAACAGACAGGTGACACATAGGCTTCTGGGGTCTCTTTGTTCCTGGATGCCTAGTGTGGGGCTTGGTGTGGTGAGGGAGGGTTGGAGGTGAGAACAGAGCTGTTCCCTCTGGGCCTGACACATGGATGGAGTCAGGCAGGGTGGGATGGCCCTGAGGGGCAGCAGAGAGTGAAGTTCCTCTCTCCCCATCCTTTTCCCTGTGATGGCTCTTAACTCTTTCTGATTCTCGCTCTTGTCTTTCCCACCCCCTCTCTGTATCTTGTTTCTGACTCTCACTCTGTCTGTATCTGTCTCTTGCCATTTGTTGGCCTTTTCCATACTTCTCCTTGTTCTTTGTCTGTTTATTCTTACTCTGTCTTTCTTCCTCCCTCTCCATATCTCTGCTTCCCACCTTCTCTCTTTGCTTCTCTTCTCTCTCTCTCTCTTGCCTGCTGTCTTTCTGTTCCTTTATACTTCCATCTGTCTGTGTCTCTCTCTATGTATCTCGCTTCTTTCCTCCATCTTTCTCTCTCTGTCTCTTGGTCTCTGTCGTTGTCCCCTCTCTGCCCCTCCAGCTTGCCAGGGCCAGTTCAGTGCATCAGGATCACGTGAGTAGTTTTCTGGTGTCCCTTCTCCTGGGTTTTCCTTACCTTAGGTCCTGCCTTGATGTGGCTCTGTAGGATAAAAATGCTGTAGGATTAACATAAAGTCCTGGTGTGGCTCTGTAGGATAAACACTAGACTGATAACCACAAGGTCAGTGGTTCAAATCCACCAGTCGCTCTTTGGAAACCCTATTCAGGATCTCTATGAGTCGGAACAGACTCCACGGCACTTATAACAACAAGGCCCTGCCTTGCCCTTCCCCTGCGTGCTCTCAGTAGGACATAACTGGATGGTTGCCCTGCTGAGCCCAGGGTCCCATGCCCCTTGCTCTTTGCTCCAGGGCCCCTCCCTAGTTATGCTGCAGACACTGCTGGCCCCCAGCCCATCCATGTACCTGTGCTCCGGGTCTCTCATGTGGAAGAGGAAGGTGAGAACAGCTGGGCTCAGATGCATGTGTGGGTGGGGCACAGACAGACACACGTGTGGTTGCTTATGTGTGCGAGCAGAGCATACACCATGTACATAGGTCTACATGCAGGGTACATACATGGACACTCTGTGCACACACATGGGGAGGCAGGCGCTGCCCGCCCTGCCCCAAGGACCAGATTTGGGCAGCCCCATCACAGCACACCCTTCCCTGGTATAGGCCAGCTGCCCCCCGAGGACGATGAGTTCTCAGAATATTCAGAGTACTCTGTGGAGGAATACGAGGACCTAGAGGCTCCCTGGGAAGGCAATGGTGAGGATGGGGTTGCTGAGCCCAGGGCGGATCAAGTAGGGGTAGACATCCATCTCTGCAGACCTCTCACTGACCCCCAGGCCCTCTCTGACCCTATTCCCTTGCTGACCTCTTGACCCCCAGCAGTCCCAGACCCCTGCATATTGCCACTGGATGAGGGCTCCTGTACTGCCTATACTCTGCGCTGGTATCATCGGGCCTCGGCTAGTAGCAAAGGAGCCTGTCGTCCCTTTGTCTATGGTGGTTGTGGAGGCAATGCCAACCGTTTTGGGACCCGAGAGGCTTGTGAGCGCCACTGCCTACCCAAGGTGGTCCAAAACCAGAGAGCAGGTATGGGCTTACCTCCAGCCCCATGGAGCCTATCTGGGGGACCTGAGTCTGAGGACTGAATACAGACGCCCAGCTATTGAGTCCCCAGTGTGGTTCCCTTGCATGCTTTCCTATATGGGCCTGAATGTGGAGCCCCTCTGAGACCAGAGCCCCTACTCCCTCCCTCCTTGACGCCTTTGCCCAGTGTGTTTCTGTGGCCTGTATATTGGGGGAGAAGGTCAGATGACTGAAGGCAGCTTGCTCTCACCCTACCCAGGTGCTGAAGCCTAGACGATGATCCAGAGGAGTCTGGGTTCCTCCCCTTGGTGCTAGAGGCCTGTGTGCACGTGAGCGTGCATGTATGTGTCCGTTATTTCAGTGACTTGGTCCCCGTGGGTCTGGCCTTGCCCCCTGTGGACAAACCCCCATTGTGGCTCCTGCTTCCCTGGCAGCTGACTCACTGTTGGGGGGGATGGCTGTGGGCAGTGAGCAGACGTGACTGGCATCTGACCCACACTTTGACCCAAGCCTCTGACGACATGGTGCTGATTCTGGGGGGCATTAAAGCTGCTGTTTTCAAAGACCCCCATTGTGACTCTCTGGAAAGCTGTTTGGACATGTTCAGGGGGCAGAGTTTCCCCAGGAAGTCAGTACTACCCTATGTGGGTGCAGAATCCCTCTACCCACCCCTAATCACTGTCTGTGACTCTCAGTCCTCAGCTTGTCCCCAGTAAAGAATAGATAGGGTGGAGCCTGAGGATGTTCCTGGCTGCCCTGCAGAGGGGATGAGTCACGGGTGGGGGGCTGCCTCATGCTTCATGGCCCAGTTCCTAGCCTAGTGGGGAGAGGGAGATAAATGGGCCCTGGAGTGGGGCAGAGGGTTAGACTCACGACAGTCAATCCAGAGGCCCCAACTTATCCCTGAGGAGGCTGGTCCAGGTAGGACTGGTGTCTAGTTAGGGTGGGCAGGGTCTTCGGGTTGAGCAGAACTGGGGGTCGGGTTAACGGAGGTCTCTGAACCTGGTATGCACTGGAGGAGGGGGGAGGTGGTGGTCTGCGATCTCTGACTGCTTTTATTCCTGCCTTTCTCTGAACTGGATCTGTTGCAAGCTCGCTTGCTCACAATTACAGCTTCTCCTTTTATCCCTCTGTGTTTCTCCCTTTTTCTTTGAATCTCTTTATTTCCGTCTATCTGTATGTTTCTCACATCACTGTCTCTGTCTTTTTCCTCCAGTCTCCCTCTATTTTTCTGTGTTTTCATTGCATTCATCTCATTTGCCTTCTCTCTCTTTTTGTTGTTGTTTTTAAGTGATGTCAAGTAGGTTCCTATTCATAGTACCCTGTATAGGGTTTCCAAAGAGCAGCTGGTGAGTTTGAACTGCTGCCCCCTGTGGTTCAAAGTGCAGTGCTGATGCTACAGTGCCACACCAGGAGTCCTCTTACTCTGGATCTCTAGATTTATATTGGTCTCTCTGCCTTTGTGTTCCTGGCTCTCTGTCTCACTCTCTCTTTCTTTGACTCACACTCTTCTCTGGCTCACTTTTGTCTCCTCATCTCCCTGTCTTTATTCCTCTGTCCCCAGCCTCTCTTATCTCTCCCTCTCATTCTTTCAGTCTCTGTCTCTCTGCTCTCACTGCCTGTCTCTGTCTATGGCTCATTGTTGACCAGATGAACCCCTGGCCTGAGCCTGTTTTCTCCTCACAGTCAGACTGCACAATGACCAGATGGGCTCTGCTGGTGCTGATGGTCCTGATGTTGGGCAGGGTCCTGGTCCTTCCAGCGACCCCGATCCCAGTCTACCAGCTCTCTTCTCACAATTTTCCCCAGGCCACTTCTTGCTCTACGGCCTTGGAGAGGACTCTGGCCACCACCACAGGCCCCTCAGCTAGCTGGGGCCGTGCCAGCCCTGGCCCTCACCCTGGCCCACGTATCACCCTCTCTCTGGATGTCCCCCTTGGCCTTCTAAAGATCCTGCTGGAGCAGGCACAAATCAGGGCTGCCAAGGAGCGGGCTGCTGCCAATGCCCGCATCCTAGCCCATGTTGGCCGCCGCTGAGTCTAAAGGAGGGGTTCCCAAGGACCAAATGATGAGGCCACATATGGATGGAAGCATTGAAGAGCAGCGGTGGATCTGGAGGGCACATCTGGGCAGAGTGCATCTGTGCACCACTGTAAGGGATCGCTGCTATGTGCTGCCATAACACATCACAGAGTTACAATTGTCTGGACAGCCAGGACATCACCATGTTGGGTTACTGCCATGTAGAATCTTGTCATGTCTGGGTGTCCCACAGTCACAGGGCAACTGGACACTTCCACATGTGGCCACCACTATACCACTTTCAGGAGTCCCAACTCAGGAAGACACACTGCATCTGCACACTGCCACCTCATATTGCTCGTGAGCCAGATCCAGCCCATCTAAGCTCCATAGTCTAGGTCCCACCTCATAGGTTACCTTAGGGAAGTGCTGGTCAGTGTCACATGTTCTGTGCCCCAGGAGGCAGCACCTACCCAGATAGATGGGGCCATCAGTACCATCTTCAGGCCATCTCCCAGAACCCATACGTGGCAAGTCTGGCTGTGGGGAATGTGTGTGAGTGGCTGAGCCCTTGTATGCTGCCTCTGTTGCGAGTCTCTGTGTATATGACAGCAGTAGATGTGTGTGAGTGATGGAAGGGCTTGTCTCCCCAACTCTACATGAAGTCCCCACAGCACACAGCCAAGCACAGACCTCCTGTAGCTCTCATACCACCTTGATCTTGGACACGACACATGGCTCCAGGGAAGAAGGCTGCCAGGCTCCAACCAACTCCACCCCTTCCTTACTGAATTCCTCACTGAATTGTCCTGAGCAAAATGCTTACCTCTCTGAGCCTGTTTCCTTATCTGGAAGGCAGGGTGATGCCACCAAGCTTCTTGTGAACACTGGATGATAGAGTGTATATGGATGTTTTGGTATGCAGCAGGTGTTCAATAAATGCAAAGTGATTAAAGGATGGGAGGGATGCGAATCACAAAGTCACGCGTACTAGTGACACATGAGGGCTGAGTCAGCTGGCTACACTGCCCCTCTGTCGCCTCCTCCTACTTCACTGATCTCACACCCTCCAGCTCCATTGCGGATGGGAGATGGGCTAACTCTGCCCAATGTGGACAGGCTTGCCTGGGGATGGGGCAGGAACTAGACAGTGTGCACAACACAACCCCAGCTGGAGATAAGGGCAGACACTAGTGAGGACGCCTCCAGTACTGCCTGTGTGAGTTAGGGGACCCTGAAGTTGACCTCCACATTTGTAGAGAGAGTACCAGAGCAGTCTTGGGGGGCGGGTTCAGGGCGGGGCTGGGAGAGGCGGGGCCATAGGCAGCCGGTGACTGTCTTCCCAGAAGTCGCGGTCTGGGTGCCGGACTCTGGAGCCAGGGGGCGTTGGCCAGCGACAGTTCTCTGGCAGGATGGACACAGGCACCAAAGGAGGCAGCTCCAAGACAGACCCGGAGCCAGGGAACAGCGGGCGGGGTAGGAGCGGCAAGGGTGGAGGGATAGGGGAGAGACTTAAACGAAGTGTGGGTGGTGGTAGCAGGGGTGTTAGGACATTAGAGGTCTTTCTGGGTATAGGAGTACTCTGAGGGGACGTCTGCCTGTCAGTTGCAAGGAGGAGGGGGAACACTTGCCTTGCAGGGGAAAGGGGGCTGGGCCAAGGGGAGTTATAAATAGCGTCTTCCTTCAGCTTAGGGGAAGGGACAGCCAACTGAATCTGCTTCAGGCCCTCCCACATTGCCCTTTGCTGGATACCAAGGGGTCACTTCCGTCCAGGACCCTTCCAGGAGCCACACCAGTTTAGGGGAGTTCGGAGGTTCATTTGGGAAGTTTTTGATACCACTTGACTATCACCCTTAGACCAGTATTTCTAGGGTGCCTACTGAGTGCCCTGGGCTGGTCCTGAGCTGCTCTAAGCAGCTACTGTGTGCTCTGCCTTACTTTGTGATCACACGGGTCCTGAGCCACACTCAACATCTACAGTGTGCCCTGGCTGATCCAGGGCCATTTTGAGCCCCTACTATATGTCCTGTGCCGGGCCTGAATCAGGAGGTGCAGCCCAGGGTTCACAAGGATGCATGATTCCAAGTTAGAACCTCACACCTCTTTCTGTCTTCTGTGCCCAGGTAAGTGCTGAGTGTGATCTTTGGCTAGAATTAGCCATAGAAAGCCGGAACTCCTGGAAACTCCCAGTCACAACGAAGGGGGCCTCAATTAGGGAGGGAGGCAGCAGACGGCAGTAGACCCTTTGCAGTCGGCTTGCCTCTGTGCATGTGCCTGGGTGCAGGTCTTGTTTGTGTGTGTGCAACTGCATGCTGGTGTACGTCAGCATGTGGGTCTGTCTGTGTGGAGTGCACTGAGGTTCGGGTCTGTATGCTGCCAAGGGTGCTTTGGTGGTTCTTCCAGGACCACCTATTAGATCCAGGGGCTGGGAGGAGTGTGAGCATCGAGAACTGAGGATTGAATCCTTTAGTCACTCCACAGCTCCTGGCCTGGGACACTGGGGAAACTTTCCAGGCTAGGCTGGGCAGGTTTCTGGTGGGAAAAGGCTGAGCAGGACATGTTCACCCCCAAATACACACTGACATCTGGAACACATACACCCCTTTGGGAAGTGGTGGGGGGAGGATAACTGGCTTACTTTGGGATGCTCCTGAGAAGGGGAAAACTGAAGAGCCAATTATCCTTTGGCCATCTACTGATGCTAAGGGGACAGAAAGTATTTCAATGGAGAGAAGGAGCATTAGCCCAGATGTGGAGATGGGAAATGCGTTCGTGACACGTGTGGGAGGAGAGGTTTTGAAGGGCTGGGTGTTGAGCTGGGCTCATCCCACATTGTGAGTTGACTCTGGAACAATGATCTTTCCTGAGGATTCTCCCTTTTTGGATCCTGTTTCCTATACCAAAAATGAGGCCATGGAGAACACCTTCAGAGTAGATGCAGACTCTGGCCGTAGAGAGGGGCCCTAGGCTACTCCTGTCATAGACTCTTTGCTTTAACTGGATGTAGTAACTTGGGAGGATGTGTCAGCGTCAGCCCAGACTCAGACTTTCTGGGGAAGAGTAGGTGTTGCAGTTGCTTTTCTTGGGAAGTCAGACACAGACTGCCTGAGTGTGGGGATAGCTTCCAGAGGTGGCAGTGGTCTTCTGCCCCATTCTGGCTGCCCCTTACCCTCAGCACTTGACTAACATTACAGGAAGGCGAGATTGGGTGGCCTAGCAGGTGCTGGGGTCTGTGGATGTTAGCAGAGGGAGCCTTCGTTATCATTGTGCTGGGTGTGGGCATGTGGCAATGAGGTGTCAGAGGCCATGTTGGCCCCAGGATAACCTTGGCAGTGGACAAGAGGCAGGAAGGCATGACCATGACCATGCCAGGAATAGAAATGAGTGGCTTTGGGGAAGTAGGGAGCAGACAGGTCATAGGGGCACCCTACTCATCAGGGGCCTCCCATGGATGTGCTCAGAGCTTTTGAGCATGAGTTGGAGGGTGGGCCCTGCACAAGGAAGACAAGGAAGGAGGAAGTGGTTGACTCTGTTTGGTGCAGGTAAAACTAGATTTAGGGAGGGTCCACTTCAAGTAGGCTTTCAGCAAGTGGACCTGTTGAGCCTTCATTTCTTGTGAAGTAGGTAGAGCCTGTGCCACGGTGTCTTGGGCTGGATTGCGGCGATTGTGGCCTGGAAAGTCAGGATGGGGCCAGAGGCAAAGGAAGGAGGCCCTGTCCCTTCTGCTCCCAGGGTTAGCTCTGTTTGCCACTAGCACCTGGCTCCTGGCTGGGCACTAGGGATGTAGTGAAGACTATCACTAGAGGGCAGTGTGACTCAGAGGGAGTCCAGGCAGAAAGTGAGCTGGGGTCGGAGTGACACAGAGAAGGTAGGAGCTTTCAGGGGTTGGACTGGGAAGGCAGCAGAGAGTGAGCAGATTCCTGAACTGTCAGATCTCTCCTCTACCCACTGCTCCCACTGCATTTTTCAGAGATACCCAAACCCAAACCAAACACGCTGCCATTGAGTTGATTCGACTCATAGCAACACTGTATAAGGTTTCTGAGAGTGTAAATCTTTACTGGAGTAGAAAGCCTCTTCTTTCTCCCAAGTACAAGTAGCTGAGGTATTGAAACTGCTAAGCCACTATACCACCGGGGTCCTTTTTCAAAGATACTGTTATTATTGTTAAGTGTTATTGAGTCTTCAATTTTGACTCATAGCCACCCTGTATAGGGTTTCCAAGGAGCCGCTGGTGAGTTTGAGCCACTGACCTTGTGGTTCAAACCAACTTTGCAGTGTTGATCCTGCAGTGACACACCAGAACTCTGTAAGAGGGATATAAATGATGTAATAAATGATAGCACTAATATGGAGTCTCTGGGTTTTCAATTGCTAAAAGATTGAATGTTCAAGTCCAATTAGAGGCACCTCTGAAGAAAGGTCTGGCAATCCACTTCCCAAAAAAGAGAAAATTAGCCATTGAAAATCCAGTGGAGCATAGTTCTACTCTGACACTGTAACCATGAATAGAGTCCACGCCACAACAACTGGTAATGGTAGCATGCTTTAAGTACAGATTTCTTAGATTTCCCTTTATACTAGATCTTGTAGCGTCTTGTGCATCCTATTTTCCCTGATAAAAAGACACAATAAAAATGCGAAATCTCCAGATTAAAGATTTAATTTGTAAAAATGAAATCCTGGAAGAGATAAGATACTGCCAGAATTTAGTAGATATACAGAGTATGGTTAAGGAGCTCTGGTAGGGTAGTGGTTGCGAGTTGGGCTGCTAACCTCAAGGTCAGCAGTTCGAAACTACTAGCTGTTGCTCATTTAAAAGCCTTAGAAACCCTGTATCGGGTCGTTAAGAGTCGGAACCGACTCCACGGCACATAACCACCACCACCATCACAGAGTATGGTTAATAAGTTGTCTGTGCTTACTCGTGGGCCGGGGTTAAACAGGAGGTGCTCAGCAGCCAAGGAAGAGGGAAAGAAACCACGATCAAATTTGAGATTCGTCCTGCTTCCCTTTTTTGAGATAAAAGAGTGTTTTCAGCGTGGTTTAGCAGGCCGAGAAAGAGGGTCGCGGGACGCGAAGTATACTATGGGATCCGGGTGCTAGGCTAGCGCGGTTCCTCAAGTCGGTCTGGTCCAATCCGATCAGGTCGGTCACTCAGGCCCCGCCCCATAGCACGCAAATCCCTCCTTCCTGGGGGTCCCCTGGTAAGTGCCGTCGGATCGATTTGGACCCATATCGACCCGGTATAGGGTTTTCGAGTTGCTGCTGGTGAGCTTGAACCACCGATCTTGTAGTTCATACCCGACCGTAAGGTTGGGTACTTATCCTGCCTACAGCGTCACACCAGGATGGGGGAGGAGGAGTCCCCTGGTGGTGGTGGTGGTGGTGGTGTGCCGTGGAGTCGGTTCCGATTTATTGCGACTCTGCATAGGATTTCCGAGGCTGTAAATCTTTACGGGATCACAAAGCCTCATCTTTCTCCTGTGGATCAACTGATATTTTCGAACTAGTGACCTTGAAGTTAGCAGCCCGATCGTAAACACTACGCTACCGGGAGTGCCTTGGGTGGGGCAAGGCGGGGAGGCGAGAAGGGGGAGTGTTGTTCCCTAGACCTCGCTTAGTCCAGAGCACAGTGTCTTAGGGCGGAGCTTCAAGTCCTGGGGCGGGGTCCGTGGGTGAGGCATATGCAAATAAATGGCGTCGGGTTGGATGTGCTGAATTTGCTCATCCAGGTTGGGGCCTGCACAATCCGGGCCTTCAGCACGTGAGGAGGTGAACATGCGCGTTTTCGATCCGGGTCTGAGGGGCGGGACCCGCTGGAGCTATAACGGGTCTGAGAGCTAGTTGGACATGCGTGGTCTATGGCTAGCTCTCTACCGTTAGGGTGGAGCGTACTTGTTCTGGGGCGGGGCCTGGGGGGAGTTGGGCGTCATCCTGGCTTGAGGAGGGGCGGGGCCCGAGGGGCAGGACCTCCGTAGCCCGGCAGCTGGGTAGCCTACAGCGTAGTCCGGCTTAACCCGGCTCAGGAATGGCTTCCCCACGGGAGCTGACCCAGAACCCCCTGAAGAAGATTTGGATGCCGTACAGCAATGGGCGGCCCGCCCTGCACGCCTGTCAACGCGGTGGTGAGGCGGGGGTCCACGGGGATTGGAGAGGGGAGGCAGGTGCTTGGTACTACTGGTGATTAGAATGGCCTGGGTAGGGGTCTTGCATGGAGAGGACCGGGGACATGTGAGGTGGCATGAAATGGTGAAGGACCAGGGACAGGTATGACAAAGCGTGGAGCGGTGTAAGGACAGGTGTGTGGCAGCGTCTCGGCTTGGCGGGAGCTAGCGTGGTCACCAACACCCCAGGGAGAGCGCCCACCCATCCACACCCTATCTTGTTCTCACCACTGCCTGCCTAAGCGAGGACTCAAACGAACCTTCCCGGCTAGAGAGCGTTGACTGGGTCTGAGCTCTGTGACCCTAGGTTAGTCTCTTGGCCTCTCTGAGTCCAACTCTTTCAAAGGCCGGAAGGTGAGCTACTCCTCCAGCAAGAGGAAGGGTGCCCTTGGCTTTTTGCACCCACTCCTGGGCCTTAAACCAAGTTTTGGGAGGAATTTCAGGGAAGTGCAGGTGTGCTCATGATAGGGACAGGAAGAACACTATGTGGACCTGCTGTTGGTAAGTGCCATCATGTTGGTTCTGACTCATAGCAACCTTGTATAGGGTTTCAGAAGAGTAGCTGGTGAGTTTGAACTGCCGACCTTGTGGCTTAAATCGATCTTCTGGTTGTGCTTATCCTACAGTGCCACCCTGGTGTGTAAATAGCTACGTGGGGTTGTGGGGTGTATAGTAAAACTGAGGGATGAAACTTGAAAGACACCTGTGCCATTGCTAAGGGGCTTGACTCATGGACTCTTAGATATTTAATCTTCTTCTTTGTTTATTCTTCAGGAGTCTGAAACATTTTTATTACCAGGAAAAAGAAATCTTTGTTTTAGGAGTAACTGCAATATTGTAATGAACTTGTAAATTGTCAAGGACCTCAGAGAACATCTATCTAGCTCAACTCACATCACAAAATAGAACTGGAGATTTGGAGATTGTGTGATGTGCCAAGGTGTCCCTACACTCCCTGGTCTCTGCTTGGTCATGATAAGGGAGGGAAGAATCCTCCCCTGGGAGCTGTGGCTTTGACCACAGTGTGAGTCCTATGTGCCTCTGACCATGAGGTCAGTCTGGTTAGGGGTCAAGCCTTGGGGCTGTGATCACTGTCTAAGTGCTAAGACCACAGGTTTCTTAGGACTTTTCTGAAGGTGTGGACACCAAACCTCTTCTTTCTCGTGCTGCCAGTCAATCTGTTAGGAGGTGTGGTCCTAACTTGTGGGGCATTGCTGTTCCGACATGAAGAGGAAATAACGTGAACCTAGACAGGAACACTCAAGCCATGTCCTGACTCAGCTCTGTGTGACCTTGGGCTAGAAGCTGGCCCTTCAGGCCATAGGTTACTCATCTATGGGATGGGAACTGTCATCATCCCTTCTCTGTGATGCTGGTGCGAGCTTCAATCAAGCAGGGGCTTGATAAGAGGTAGTAGGCAATTTTGTTATCACCACCACTCTCTCTTTGCTTCTTGAAGGAACTGAAGTTATAGCTCTGAGCCAACCTCCCCATTCTGGGAAGGGAGCTGAGGCCCAATGGGGTGGGTACCTGCCCAGGTCTTATAGCTTCTGCAGGACCACAAACAGAAGCCTATTTGGGGCAAGGCCCCAAACTTCTCCATACTTCAAATATGGGATTAAACCATGGCTCCCTCCCCTCCCCCGCCCAGGAGAGGTTGGCAGGTGTCTGGGTGTCAGAGTGACATGTCTGGCTGTGATGTATAGCTCTGGGAAGCCTGTCATACTGTCCATGCCTATATGGGACCAGCGGCTACATGTAGTATTCAGACTTATGGAGCTCTGGGCTTGAAGGAGCACTGGCCTGGGAGTCAGGGAGCTGGGCACCTTTTCCAGCCCCACCCAACTTGCTCTACCATTTCGGCCACATTCTATCCTCTGGGCCCAGTATTCTCCACTCTAGAAGGTTTTGAACAGCCCTGTATTTCTAGATGCCTTAATACCCTGGACCCCCTTTATGATATTTCCCCTAATCAAACCCCATGTTCTAAAAAAATATCTTCCAAATTGCACTGGTTTGAGGAGTAACTCCTTTCTCTTGTTCATCCATCAAGTGCCAGTCTGAGCTTCTGATTGGGAAGCTCCACAGACAGCTGGGGCTGTGGGCAGTGTTGTGATTGTAGCTCCTGGGACTGCTGGGACCTCCTTACATTTGGGGGTCTTTGACCATCTCAGCTCTCAAATGAGAAGTGTCTAAGATTTGGGGCTGGAAATGCCTTTTCTGGTATGAGAACACCCCTCAGAAAAGGTTATCTTCTCCCATTTCTTTTAGCTCCTCTTTCATGGAACCTGTCACCTTCACAAATAGTTTCTTTCTAGCTGTGTTGTTGAAGGGGTGTTTTGGGTTGCAGGTGTTCTGAGCATTGTCTGACTGGTTCTACCTGGATTCATGACTTCCATTCCACCTTTGTGTCGTCCTCACAGTCTAGTTGGGGAAACAGATAGGCTGATAGTGACCAGGATACTATAGTGTGAGCTATAATAAGGAATTCACCTGGGCTGTGGAGGTGGCCTAAGGAAGGCTTCAGAGGTGCTTCAGAGGCTAAAGAGACCACCAGGTTGTCTGGGGCCCTCAGAGTTTACAAGCAGTGAGTGAACTTGGACCCATCGTTGCAGTACTTCCAGCTCCTGAGCCTGCATGGATGCAGCACAGATGGGCTTGTGCCTGGGTTTGAGGGCCACAGAGGAGTTTGGGTGGAAGTTGACTTGATCACAGAGCCTTGTGGAAGGAGGAAGTAGAGTCCAGGTGTGTGGGAGTGGAGAGTCGACTGGGGTTGCCTAGATCGTCACATCTCAGAGTGTGACTCATGCTCTGCTCCCCCGCTCCCACTCTCCATTAGCGATTTTTTCCACACTTGCTGAAATCTGGCTTCACACCTGAAGGCCAGGAAGCTGCCACCTTCTTCATCATATCAGCTCAGACCTGGAGGAACTCTGGGAGGAGGCCGGGCTGGGGATGAAGAGGAAACTCTGGGAGCACAGACGAAAAGACTGTGTTTGTCTAGTGACTTTTCTCAGCCCATAGGTGGCGAAATTCTTCTCGGGTGTGTGCACAGTTTCTGTCCGCTCTGATGGGACTCATGATGCCAAGTTGCCTAATTTCTTCCTTCTCCAGCCCGAGGAGTGGGAGCCAAACCAGTTCAGGAATCGGTTCTGGAACCTACTCCCAGGACTCTTTGCTGGCTCTATCTGTAGTGCCACCAGAAAACAGGCTCTGTCTAATGCCAGACATGTCTCAGACCACTTGCCTCTTGAGGTTCCTCTGGCCTTGAGCAGATTTACAGGAAAAGGAACTAGTGAGGGTAACTGGATGACATGTCTTCACATTTCCTTCCGTACATACTTGGTGTCGAAAGCCATGTTCTGCAGTCCTGTTTGCTCAATGCTGGGTCTTGGCAGGCTCTGAGCTGTATTTCATGCGACTGTCCCTTCCAGGGCTCACTTGAGCCCTGTGCTCAGCATTTCCTCCTTGGGTGCTTCCATTTGCAATTTCTCCACTGCTGGGCTTTCGCCAGTGTTTTGCTCTGATAAGTAGAGCTCTTGTGAACATACTTGAACTTTGATTTCGCTCGTAGATCATTTCCTTAAGAACTTATCTTGAGGGACAGAGGGAAGGGGTCATTTATTGCCCTTGTTTTGCACCCAGATCTGCTGTCCTTTGCATCTTGGATTATTTGTTTGGGTAGGGGTCGGGGAAGGGGCACACTGTCACCCAATGCTTGGGGAGGCCAAGAGCATCTCTAAGAAGACAGAGATGCAAAGAGTGGTTACATAACCCCAGTCTCAAAGGGCATGGGTGAGGCACCGCATTAGGGACTGATGCCCTGCCCATCTGCTGCTGAGAGCCCTAGGCAGCCAGTCGGGAATTGTGCAAGCTGTGCAGGCCCCGGCTGTCCATTGGCCCTAGGAACACCAGGCCTTGCCTAACTTGTTTTTCTTTCTTTAGCCAATACTGAAGTTTTCTTCAAGGTTTCTCTCTCTTGCTTACTGCCAGCCTTTGCCCTGTATTCTGTTGGGTCCCCCCCCCCCAACTCACAATTTGGGTTTCATCTGCCCAGAAGGCCCTGCTTAGGGAGCAATGGATCCCCAGCTGGTGAGCAGGGTCCTTGATTTTTCCACAGGACCTGCCTGGGTATAGACAGGTGCCTCCACACCCCAAGTATCAAGGTCGGTCAGCCAGTGCTGAGGTGCAGCTGCCAGAGCAGGGCAAAGGGTACAGCTACCCTGAAATGCTTGGCTTTTACATGGAGATGGTGCTAGAACTCACTGAGGGATTATCATCCCATTTTACAGGTGAGGACACTGAGGCCCGTAGTTGCTCTTAACTGTCAAGAGTCAAGTTTGGAAGCCAGGTTTGTCTGACCCCTAGCCTCCAGACAGGGCTGCCCTAGGAACCTCTGCCTGACAGTGATGGAGGCAGGTTGAGGGCAGGGCCCCACAGACTGCTAGGTAGAAACATTCACAAACACAGGTGGGCAGTAGAGAGGAGCTGCGACAGGTCCCCACATCTGTCCATCTGTCCATCTGTTTGTCTTCTGTGATTTTACTGGACGCAGGTGCTGAGGCTTCTGAGATGAAGTCCTACTGAAAACTGAGTGACATGAGGCTGGCGGTTCTGCTGCCTGGGAGTCAATTCTGATTGGCCAGGAATGAGTGGCTAAGGAACTGTGGTCGGATCTTGGCAGCTTTTCTGATTGGTGCACTGACCTGGCAGCACATGTGATAGTGTCAGCTGGTCTACCGGAGGGACTACCAGTATGGCCATCCTCCTGGGATTCTAGTCTCAGGCCCTCGTCACCCTCACCCTAGTGGATTTCTAGGTACCTCCCTTGTCCCTCTTGCCCATAATTCCTAAGCACCCACTCTGAGCCAGGATCCCAAGGTGAATGACTTAGACACTGCAGGGCTGCTTCTACTCCAGGGATGAGTCTGGGGGCAGCAGATGCGTGGGCAAGATGATCAGGGATTGAGGGTGCACCAGCTGGCCATGGAGGTGCCTTGGAGAAGGGGCTCATGGAGGGAGTAGCTTCTGAGCAGGGCTTTGGAGGGAGGGAGGAAAGCAGTGGACAGCGTGTGCCAGGAACATTGAGTGATGATTGGGGAATGTGTGTATGAGGTTAGAGTTTGGATTCCTGGATGACAAGGCTTTGTCCATGTGTGTTAGGGAATGCCCCAGCAGTGTTTAGCTGAGGATGTGGCAGGTCCAGCTTTCTATCTGGTGCTGCACAGCAGGATGAGATGGGCTGGGGAGCTCCCACTGTGTCTTCTAGAGTCCAGACAGGCCTGGGAGGAGGGCATGCCAGGGATGGCTTGAGCCCAGAGCCTGGGGACCCCTCAGGATGCTGTCTGATGTGAGGAGGCCAGGAAGTCACGTCTGATGCTTAGCTCTGGGCCTTGAGGCTGAGGACCATGGACAGAGAGGAAAGGTCCTGGTTCCCCTCTGATCCAAGCACTGTTTTGTCTTTCAGTTTGCATGACTAACTGCCCCACGCTCATTGTCATGGTGGGCTTGCCTGCCCGGGGCAAGACCTACATCTCCAAGAAGCTGACTCGCTACCTGAACTGGATTGGTGTACCCACACGTGGTAAGGCTTGCCCACTTGTCCAAGGACCTGTTAGGGATTTCAAGGGGAGGGGAGGAAAAGAGAGAAGGCTGGAGTGTGAGCAGGACCTGGGGTTGGGAAGGCTCCTGAGGGGTCAGGAGTCCACAAGAGTTGCTGTCACTTTGAAAAGCTGAGCTGAACTGCTCTTTTCCTCCAGAATTCAACGTTGGCCAGTACCGCCGAAGCATGGTCAAGACATATAAATCTTTTGAATTTTTCCTCCCAGAAAACGAAGAAGGCCTGAGAATTAGGAAGTAAGTGTGTGTATATGTGTGTGTATGGGGGTGAGGGTATCTAACAAGAGGGGTAACAGATTTTTGCCATTTACTGAGGCCCTTGGAACTTTGGAGCCAAGTTGTTGGTGAATGACTGAGTTACTTTGCAGGCTTGGCCTTCCTGGCCTGATGGTTGTGTGGCAGGACTGGTCTCTTGACCTCTTGGCCTGTGAGTTGGGGATGTCATGGGGTTGGAAACAAGGGGAGCATGCATGTGAGCCTCCTGCTGGTTGATCCTTGGGAGGGGAGGACAGAGGAAGTTACAGAGATTTGGGCAAAAGCCCAGCTTAACCAGGGCAGGGCAGGGACCAGCTGTGTGAAGACCATTCACTCATTCCCCAGGACTGACCACTGGTGGGAAGTGGGGTCACCCTCTGGCACCTTCAACAAAACCAGAAGGATAAGGCCAGGATCTGGGAACCTTTCTTCCCTTGCCCTTGGTTAAGCCCCGCCTTATGTGTTTGGGTAAACGCTTGACTGCTAACCAAAAAGGCAGTGGTCCAAATACACCAGCCGCTCCATGGGAGAAAGATGCTTCCATAAAGATGTTCATACAGCCTTGGAAACCATGTGGGACAGTTCTGCTCAACCCTGTGTGCTTGCTATGAGTTGGAATTGATTTAATGGCAGTGGGGTTGGGGTTGGGGTTGGGTTAGTGTATTTGGAGTGTGCTTGCTGTGTACTTGGCATGTTCTTGGTGGGTGTGGGGTAGACCTTGGCTAGACTTTCAAGTGGTCTCAATGCTGCTGGGTGAGCAGTTTCAGCTCACTTTCATGAGAAGGAAACTTGTATAGGATAAACCCAGACTTTCTCCAGAGGAACTGAACACCAGCTTATATTATATTTGAGGAGCCGGGAGCTATGTTCTTCTTGGCAAATCTCACTCAGATGTCTTCTTCTTGGCAAGTCTCACTCAGATGGAGGATCAAGTAACTCCTTGACAGCCAGGATTTACCAGGCTCTGGTAAATCCTGGCTACCAACCAAGTCTGGAGACTAGGCTGCATGTTTCCTCTTTGGCCACTAGGGGGCAGGAGCGTCCCAGTGTAGGGCTTGGCCCCTTAGACTACTTCTGGTCTTGGAGCAATGAGACTGGTCCTGGCTGCTGCACTGGGAAAGGGCGATTGACTTTCAGACCTCTGTGGCCAAGTTGTAAGTTAAAAGCGACTGTCCGGTGATGCTGAGCCAGATTAAAGGGTGGGGACTGCTTGTTGAACTTGTACAGTGTGCTGGACGCTGGATGCTGGACACTGGTTGTTACCTTCCCCTCCCCTCCCCTTAGTTTATAGGTGAGGAGACCAAGAGCCTCTCCAGATAATGTGAGTTACTCAGAAGAACCCAGACATGAATCCGGACCCATGTGCCACTGAAAACTCTTATGTCCATCATTGCCACTTTACCTAATTAATAGGTCAAAAGACGTGTAAATGAAACAACCCTAAGTTGTGGACACGGCTAGACTAGCTTGTCTGGTCTTCCCAACAGCCTCTGTGGTGTGTGGTGAGATCTACTCTCCCAGATGCTGGGATTGAGGACGCCAAGTGATAGGATTATCCAGGTCACTCAGGGTTTGAATTTGAGCCCAGGCCTGTCTGAATCCTAATTGTTTATGGGAGGAGCCGGAGCAGGGCCTACCAGCAATTCCACTTAGCTATCAAGCAGTGGTAGAAAGAGATTCATTCAAATGAAGGAACTCAGGTTGGGAAGCTGGTCCAGGGTGGCCCAGCTGGGCTGGAGGACTCAGCAGTAGAAACTGGGGGTCTGACTCTCTATAGGCACACTCTCTGCTCCTAGAACCCCTCTGCCTACATCCAAAGCCAGAGTCCAACCTCTGGGTTACAAGGCTGTTTCTCATAAACCAGCCTCAAACTGTGGAGAGAGAAAAAAAAAACAAAACAAAACTATGGAGAGAGAGCTAACTACATCTCCCTGAGGCCCCATTGCTCACACAACGTTGAGGTCAGTCCTTGGTAGTGGGCACAGTGCATGGTCATGTATGCACATGCGTGTCCACCATGCCAACAAACACGGGTGTGCTCGTGCACACAGTCCTACACCTCATAGGAGGGCCGGATCACACACATGTGTGGGATACATGCATGCATATGCACATACCTCATAATTCAGTCATACTACCCACACACGGTCTTTGGGCACACATGGTATACATGCTTGTATGTGTGTCATTACACAGAAGGACAAGCATATTCACTTGCATACCTCATACATTCACACATGGACATCTCCCATGCGTACACACATACTCGAGCCCACTCACACATGTTGAGTTGGAGTCCCCAATACCATACTCAGGTTCATGATTTGATAGACAGACTCACTGGACTGACTGTTAAGTGGGACTCAACACTACAGTTTATTACAGCAAAAAGAAGTAAAGCAAAATCAACAAAGGGAAAAGATGCGTGGGGGGAAAAAGTCCAGAGAACATCAGGTGCACGTGTCTAAGAGTTCTCTCTGCACAGTCTCACACAGGGCTCAAGGCTTTTATTGGGACTGATCATTTAGGAGTACTGGAATGGCACTGCAAGATAAGCACTGGACTGCTAACCACAAATTCGGTGGCTCAAGCCCACCAGCTACTCCTTGAAGTCACTGTGAGTCAGAACGTTAGGAGACAGCACTTAACCACAACAGGAAGCTGAAGGTTTTTACTGGGGATGGATCATGTAGGTACCTTCTGCCAGACTTCCTGAAGGAAATCAACTTAAACTTTGTACACACAGTCTAGACAACATCAAACCACTCTTTGATTTAGGGATAGTTTCCTATCAGGTAGGGAACTGTTAACCTTTCAAGTTTCCAGATGCCAGTCAAGAGAAAAGAAAGAAGGGGACCTAGGAGGTGTCCCCTTTCCTGTCTGGTATAGACTGTGTCCCTGACCTGTTGACCTTCTACAATCAAGGTTGGGCGCTGGGCTGACCCTTTGTTTTCTCTCCCGAAGGCAGTGTGCCCTTGCAGCCCTCTGTGATGTCCGCCGATTCCTTAGTGAGGAGGGGGGACATGTGGCGGTGAGTGAGACACTTTGGTGACATCTGGGACTGACCCATGGAGCCCACACAGTCTGCCCCTTTACTCATCATGTATCCGGAGGGCAAAGCTGCCTGTGTGTGCCCCTGAATGCCCCAGATGCTAGCCCTTGGGCAAAAGTCCAAAGTAGCTATGTAGGAAGAAGCCAGAATCTGGGTCTGGGCCAGGAATTTCCCTGGGGCTTGTGGTTGCATTCAACCCTGCAGGACTTCCCTGTGAATACTCGGTTGTTAGCCACACCAGAAGTCAGGAGTATCCTGTTACCAAAGTCACTGGCAAATGTGATTTCTCCTGGTGTGGGGAGATCCCTGCCCAGCATTTACTGGCTGTTCCAGGAATTCCACCTGTGTGTCAGCCCCTCCAGTCAGCTGGAAGGGTGGGACAAGGCTTGAGGTGGGGTGCCTGCAAGCAGTCAGACACAGGAGCTGTTCTCTCCTTTTTCCACTTGGAGTTGTGCTTCTTGGAGTTCTTCAGCCCCAAGCTCCATTCTGGATTAGTCACCCTCTAGGTTGTAGCATCACCATCACTTTGGGCTTTCCCTTTTCTTCCCTTCTGGGCTGCATGCCCTACTTTGAACCCATGTCTTTCTCTTACTTTAGTACCTGACTTGGTGGAGCACATCCTCCAGTAACTTTCTGAGCAAGCTGCATAGGAGATAATTGCATGAGACCTTGGATGACTGGAAATGTCTTTTTTCAAAAAATCCTCACATTTGACGGTTAAGTATAGAATTCTTAGTTGGAAGTACATCTTCCTCAAATTTCCCATGGCATTGCTGTTTTGTATTCTGGCACTAGTGTGGTTGTGGAGAAGTCTGATGTTTTTCTGATTTGTTGGTCTTCTTAAAAGCTGCCTTGGGATAGGAAGCTTTTTCCTGTCTCTGGAGAGGATTTTAGAGTCTTCAAAAGACCCATGCTGAGTCTCCTGGGGAACTCTTGTGCACTACTTTATCAGGGTAATTGTCATGTATTGTTCTTTGACACCCTTCTTTTTTTCCCTGATAATTTCCTATTTCACTCCCATTTTCTGAGTTGCTTTTTTTTTTTAGAACTCCTGGTAGTTGAATATTAGATTTGATCCCTAATTTTATCTCCCTGCCCCTTTATTATCTATGTCTTCTATCTTTTTTTGTTGATTTACTTTCAGGGAGACTTAACATCTTGCAAATATACGGTTGAATTAAAATTTTTTAAAAATCTCATTTTTAATTTCCAAAAGTTTGTTTCTTGTTCTCTGAGCTTCAGAACTATTGTTACTGTATTCTTTTGTATCTTTCTGTGGATATCACTTGTACATGTTTGACCTGTTCTTCTGTTCCATGGCCTGTCTCCATTTCCCACCACTTCCTTTTTTTCTGTTTGATGGATTTTGTGCCTGGTTTTCATATTAGAAGTTTTTCTGGTGTGGCTGGACGCCCCTTCTTAAAAGCGGTGCTGGGTCTTGCTGGTGGGTGGACTTACTGCACTGTAGGGTCACTGCAGTAAGGTGGCTGGATGGCAGAGATGGGGCCCAACACTCCCACTGCTGCCAGTCCCCCCAATTCCTCTACACCTGTGTCTCTCTTTTCAGTGGTACCTGGTCTGGTTCTGCACAAGCAGGTGTGCTCTGGTTGGCTTTATCTCCCTCTGCAAGCTCTTGCGTTTGGCTTTCTCCATGTCTGAGTTAGTCAGCCCATGTTTGTCCTGCAAAGCTTCGTTGACATCTCCCATCTGCTATCCTCTCCTCTCCTGTTCTCTTCATCTTTAGGGGTTTTTCTGTTTGCATTTTCCTGGGGTCTCAGAATGGAGCGGACTTCAGTGTGACTTCCGTTCAGCCCATTTCAGTGGTCACGCCTGAGCTGAGTGCCTGCTGTGTACGCAGCAGCGCTGAGCTCATTCCTCTCTGCCAAGGGTGTGCTCCCCCTGGGAGCACAGGCGTCCACTCCTTCCAGTTTCCTTAGGATGTCATCCTCATTTTCAAGTCCCGCTATTGCAGGTGTGAAGGTTCTGGCCAGGGGTTTGCTCAGCCCTCTGGTGGCTTCCTACCTTCCTGAGGGCCAGAGTCTGAGTTAACCCCAGTTTGGTTCTAGGTTTTTGATGCAACAAATACCACCCGAGAACGAAGACAGACCATCTTTAATTTTGGGGAACAGAACGGCTACAAGGTGAGGCCTCCCTAGCTCTCCGCCTTGCTTGGGCCCTTTGGGACTCCTTCTCAGGCTCCTGATTCAAGCAGGCATCTGGTTGATGTGAGTCCTGTGTATGATTTGGGACGAGAAGGGCTGCTCTTTCTTCTCTACCTATGGTTTTTGGGGGCCAAGTCTTGAGTGGAGAGTCCTGGATAGGGTGGGACCTGCTTTCTAGCTCCCCACTCCTCATGCTGGTTCCCCTAGAATAAAGGCCTCCAGGGACTTGGGCTGTTGGTCAGCATGGCCCTCAGTGGGGTGGGGAGCTTTGGGGTACCAGGTCCAGAACCTAAAAGGTGTCTGTGTTTCCTTCCCTCCCGCCCATGCTGTGCCTCTGGGTGGACAGATGTTTTTTGTGGAGTCTATCTGTGTGGATCCTGAGGTGATAGCTGCTAACATTGTGGTGAGTGGAGTGTCTACTCTTGCTGGGGATAGTAGTCAATGTGAGTTGGCAGGTGGCACTGAGATCCCTCTCCGGGTTGGGCTTGGATGCTTGGCCAGCCTTCGTTTGTCCTTCTTGAGCCTTGTGGGTAGAGAAGCAGTACTACTTCAAATGCTGAACCAAGGGAGTCTAGTTGTTCCCAAGGATCGTTTGTGTTGCATGTGGTGTTGTGAATGGGTGTCCTCTTATCTTTGCCTCCCCTCACCCCACCTTAATGTTCTTCTGGGCAATGGGAAAGGAGCGTCAGCTCTTTGATGGGGTTAGTATTTGTATTTTGAAGGAGAGACTCAAGCATTCCACACCCTCTACATCCCTTCTTCCCTTGTTCATTTATCCACTTATCCAAGGAACACTGGTTTGGGTTAGGTTGGGTTGGTTTGAAGGTGGAGAGGGGATTCCAGGGCCCCTTGCCTTACAGCTTTCCCTACTCCTGTGCCACATAGATGAGGGGCTCTAATCTCAGGGGTCTCAATAACACCCTCCTGATACTAACCTGAGAAGTTGGACCAGGGATCAACTGAATTCTTCCAAATGGGCCCATCCCTGCTGGAGTTTGCTTCCCTTGGGCTCTGAGGTCCCAGTCTAGCCTCCCCATGAACCCAGCTTCATCTGTGATAGAGCAGCACACCCACCTGACTCAGGCCCCCAGCCCTGGGTCTCCTGTCCAGCCTCCATTCTCCCCCTGCCCAACACCACCTGACCTTCTGTGTGACTGGACTCTGTCTGCCTTCCAACGCTGACCTGTCCTTGCTCTTCATCTGGCCCTGGCAGCAAGTGAAGCTGGGCAGCCCTGACTATGTTGACCGTGACAGTGATGAGGCCACAGAGGATTTTCTGAGGCGCATCGAGTGCTATGAGAGCTCGTACGAGTCGCTGGATGAGGATGTGGACAGGTGAGCAAGGGGAGCACCGCGGGCTGCTGCTGGGGCGGCCAGTGGTGGGGACGGAGCTCCCACTTGGCTTCCTGCTTTGATTTCCCAAGTTTGGCCTACTCTCTGTGGCATCCCTTGGCCTGGTCAGGTCAGAACCCCTGCTCTGAAAGTCTACAATGAGGGTTGAGCACCTGCCTTGATGCAGCTTGTGGTGGCAACTGGGGGTGGGGGTTTCACTCTAAAAGTTGGAGATGGCCTGTTCTGTTGCTTTCCTTGTCATAAAAGTGACTTGCAGAGTCCCTACTGCCTTATCTGGATCTCGGCGAGTCAGGATTTTTTACTATCCCATCATAAAATCTAGTTCAGTTTCCACACATAGGCATTTGCAAACATTCCATTCTCTTTTAAAAATATGTAACCTGCTATTTGCAAAGGAAGGGCTGCCCAGATCTTGCCTCTGACCAGCTGGCTTGTTAGTTGCATCTGCCTTACCTTACTATGGGGTGAAGGATCAAGCAAGAGTAAGTGTGGGGAGGCTCTGTAGGCCCAGATCATTTGCCTGAAGGATTTACTGCAGGGGTTCGCAGATTTTTTCTGTGAAGGGTTGGGTAGTAAATAATTTAATGTAACAATAAGGTCTCAGTTGTAACTATTCAACTCTGTCAATGTAGTGTGAAACAGATAATATGTACATAAATGGTTGTGGCTGTGTTCCAAAAAAAATACATATTAATAAGAACAGACCTACTCTGGGTTGAATTTGATTCCCGGACCATATTTTACCAACTCTGTTTTGCAACATAAGTAGGCCAGCAGTTTAGTGTATACTAGTGTAGCCCCTTGGCAGAATACTACATATTTATTAGAAATCGTAGTGCTGGAGAAACACCGGAAAAGATATGTTATATATAGCATTACATAGCATTAAGTGAAAGGCCTGAAATATAAACTTGTATCTGGGTCATTTGTAAATACATAAAAGTATATAATACATATGAACCAAGGAAAACAAGCAATTATTAGAGGAATGGTTTTTGGGATGTAGGCAGAATAGTCTAAACTGGTCTTAAGGTTCCCTCCAGCTGGAACTCCAGAACCGGTACTTACCACCTAGGCCTCCCTGTGGCTTTTGGTGTTTGCCCTAGTCTTCCCAGCACAGAATTTCTTCTCTTGCTTTTTTGATGTGGCCACATTCACTAAATACTAACTCATGGCTTTCAGAGCCTCTTCCAACTTCTGTGTTAGGAGGGGTTATCTAGAAGGACTCCTGCTAGATGTATAGTAAGCTTTGCTCCTGCATTACTGGTGGGTGAGGACAATAGCCTTAAACCATGGTCCAGACAGTGAGGATGCAAATGACTATCCCAAGGGTTCCAAGACTGATTCAGAGCAGCATGCCTGAGAAACCCTCTTTTCCTCCATCTGTGCCTCCCTGCCCTCCTACCCGCCAACATACATAGATAAACGTATCCTCTACGCTCCAGCCTGGCATCATCCAAAGTGGGAGGCAGTGGCTGAGCTGGCTTTTTTGGCTGCTGCCACTAACACCATCTTACTCTGCTGTTTGTCTACCTGTCTCCTGGTGTGGGTTGTGGTGGTTGCTTGGCACACACCGATGACCTGGACTGGATTCTAGAGAGAGGATCACTGGATAGATCCATGGACAACTAAGCAGGAAGGGTAGGGGATGGGATGGAGTGTTTGCCAGCTGCTCCCAGGTCACTTCTGAGAAAATTATCTCTTGGTTCAATGTACAAACAGTGCACTGAAGGGGGCGTGCTGGAGGAGGTACGGGCAGTGGGGAAGGGATGTGGTCTGATGGCCTACCCGCTGTGGATGTTACCTCTGGAAGCCTGATCATGATGCATGATGATGCGTGCACACCTCTCACAGGGTTTGTGTCACTGGGTTGTATTTTTCCTGCCTCACCCCCACCATCACTACACACACACATGCACACCAGCTGATGGACCCGGGGGCTGTGATCTCAAGCCCGATGGTCCAAGACACAGGTTTTGTAGACACGGAAATGTGTGTGCACAGAGCACCAGGGCCTGGTTTCTGACACTGGACAGACGTGCTCTCTGTAGGACCCTGCCCACATTCAAGGCCTCTCTGTCTCTTTCTCTTCTCTCTGCCAAGGGATCTGTCCTACATCAAGATCATGGACGTGGGGCAGAGCTATGTGGTGAACCGTGTGGCTGACCACATCCAGAGCCGCATTGTATATTACCTCATGAACATCCATGTGACCCCTCGCTCCATCTACCTCTGCCGGCATGGGGAGAGCGAGCTCAACCTCAAGGGCAGGATTGGTGGAGACACAGGACTATCCCCCCGGGGCAGAGAGGTCAGTGTGGGAGGGGTGGGGGTAGAGGGCACATCGGTATCTCTGGTTGGCTCTGTGTGTGTGTGTGTGTGTGTGTGTGTGTACACTGGACTCAAGCTCTTGTAGCTAATGTACAATCCCATAATGCTGTGTGGCCAAGTGGATAGCCTTCATTCAGATTAGAATGTTCCCATCCCACAGTGAGATAGACACCAAACACCAGGCAAATTCCAGGATCCCTGGCCTCCATGTGAGCTGTCACTGATTAAGCCCCTTTCCTTGTAGATACTTGTCCCTCCAGGAGTGACCCAAGTCCCCACAGGACAACTGATGGCTCTGCCATTGTCAGGAGAGAGATTGAGGCCTAAGTGCAGTGTGGAGGCTATGCAGTCTAGAGCACATGGTTCAAAGTTGGTAGGGGACGTGATGAGCCATGGCTGGAACTGTACAAGAGTCTAGGGAAGATGTGCAAGATGACACTTGTGGGTGTTTGTGTCATTAAGAGTTCATGTGTTTTACCAAACATGTATTCTCTGAGACTGGGTTGATCTGTGGGTAGCCCAGGATCCATGGGTCTGAATTTGGTCATGTTGTGTTTCAGTTTGCCAAGAGTCTGGCCCAGTTTATCAGTGACCAGAACATCAAGGACCTGAAGGTCTGGACAAGCCAGATGAAGAGGACGATCCAGACAGCTGAGGCGTTGGGGGTGCCCTATGAGCAGTGGAAGGTCCTCAACGAGATCGATGCGGTAACTGCCCCCACCCCCACCCTGTCTTGTGTATCTGACTCTCTGTTATTGTTGTTGTTGAGTGCTGTCGAGTCAATTCCGACCCATAGCAACCCTTGTAGGGTTTCTGAGGAACAGCTGGTGAGCTTGAACTGCTGACCTTGAAGTTCAAACGGCTTTGCAGTCTGGAGCATTAACCCACAGTGCCTCACTAGGACTCCATCTAACTCTCTAGACCAACTGAGATTTATTTTGGTGTTCTGACATAAACCTTATTGTTGTTGTTAAGTGCTGTCAAGTCGATTCCAACCCATAGTGATCCTGTATAGGGTTTCCGCGGAGCTACTGGTGAGCCTGAGCTGCCAACCTTGCAGTTCAAAGGGCTTTGCGGTCTGGCGCATTAACCCACAGCACCACACCGGGAGTCAGGCATAAACCTTAGGTTTCATCTTTTCCCAGTTACTCCATTTCCTTAGAACCATCTACCCATCCTTGTTGATTTATCTATGTATATTAAGTTCTATAATGTATATACATGTTTATATCCCCGTATCATACTGTTTGAATTATGATACTTTTTAAATATCTCTTATGAGGCAGTTCTATAATGTATATACATGTTTATATCCCCGTATCATACTGTTTGAATTATGATACTTTTTAAATATCTCTTATGAGGCCTTTCTCTTTTCTTTCTTTAAATTGGTTTGGCTCCCTTTTTAATTAATTTTTAGAAATTCCTTATATTCTGAATAAAATGTACATGTGGTAGTTTTTATTTAATAGTCAACATTTGTATGAATAATTATAGACCTAATTTGAGGCTCTGATTAATGTACCTTTCTTCAGAGAGGACTTACTTTTCTTCTAGCAGGTAGAGGGTGAATCACCATAATATAGTTAGGGATCAAGTTGATTCAAAATGTTGTTAAAGGCTGTCAAGTTGGTTCTGACTCATGGTGCCCTTTATGGGATTTCCAAGAACCAGCTGGTGAGCTTGAACAACCTTGCAGTTCAAACTGACCATGTGATCCAGCCTATTAACCTGCAGCACCATAGCAGGACTCTGATTCAAAATTAGGTTTTGATTTTTATGGAAATTTTCAGTCCCTTCTATTCCTAGGGAGTAGCCTTTAACATTCTGACTGAAAACCTGTGGGCGCTGTTTTTCCGACAAGACTGCTGAAAGCGCTACCAGGCTTTTACCCACACAGTCCTCCTATCTGCTTTACTTCATCCTTTCAGCTGCTATCTTCAAATTGGCAAAACTGGAAAGGGAAAAGGGATGTCATATAGCAGGTTCACACTTGGGACTTGCCTTTGCTCGCGGATCTTGGCTCCTTAAGTGCTCTCTGTTTCAGTGGCTATATGATGACATCAAGCAGATTCTACAAGTTACTCTATCTGGCTTTTCTAGTTGTTCTCATTTGGAGGGTTGGTCTGAAGCACCATAGCCCACCATTGCCTAAAGCAGAAGTCTCTAATGGGGTCAGATTTGAATCTTAGAAAGAGTATCCTAACTGGTGTTGAAATGGTTATGTTGGACTGAGATGGGGGACAAGCTGGAGAAAGGATATTAGTTAGGGAGTGTCTGCAGTGGCCTGGTGAAGTTGATTACATCATCTAATAGTTCTACTGACTCCTGTACCTTCACTCTCTCTCCCTTTCTACCTCCTGAGTGGTGGCAGCAGGAGGGAGAGGAGACGGGGGCCAATCAAGAATGTTTATTCATTTATTTAGTACATATTTATTCTACTCTGGCTCTGTGTGTTAAGGCACCGGACTGCAAAGTCACTTTGAAACGTGTAGGCTGGTGGTTGAAGCTCACCAGTTGCTCCTCGGAAACCGTATACAGGATCGCTATGGGTTGGAACCGACTCGACGGCACTTAACAACAACACTGTGACAAGAACTGTGCCAGGTGCTGGGAACTAAGGTCTTGGGGATGACTGGCTATGGGGATGAATAGGAGGGAAGCATCCAGAATGACTGGTGTGGAGTCCTGAGGTGAGAAGGCTGAGGCACTCACATGAGGGCAGGAACTATGTTTGCTTTATTCACCACATGGTAAGGGCTCAATAAATATAAGCTACATAAAGGGACCTGATGTGGTGCTGTGGATTAATGCATTGGACTGCAAAGTTGGTTTGAACCACAAGGTTGGTGGTTCAAGCTCATTAGCTACTCCTCAGAAACCCTATACAGGGTTGCTATGGGTTAAAACCAACTCGATGACACTTAACAACGACAGATAAAGAGAAGAAATTCCTGGGAGATGTGTAAGAGTGGAAACCCAGGAGACAGTCTGATCTCTAAGGATAATTTAAGGCTTGGCCATCCCTCCTTAGACAAAGTACTTAGACAGTGAGAATGAATGAAGTAGCTGAAGGAGTGGAGATGGGGCCTAGGACAACACTCTCGGGAGCCCCAGCATTTAAAGGGACATGGAGATGATGTCTGATGTGGTGGAAGTGAAGCCAGATGGGTTGAGTGGGTGTTGTGAAAATCAAGACTGATTCTACAGGTAGAGAAATGAGGACAAACTCCAGAATGACCAAGGTCACTGACATTCTTGACATTACTCTGGTAGGGCTGATGCCTGACAGGAGTGTGTAGAAGAGTGATTGGAAGCAAGAGGGCTCTGAATCTAGGGAGACTTGGCCTTGTGCTTACACTTGACCATGTGGTAGAAAGGGAGAGAGCACGAGGGTACAGGAGTCAGCAGGACCATTGGGTGAGGTCCTTAGAGAGGGCAGAGGCTCAGATTTTGGAGAATCAGGAGGGGAGATGGGTTCAGGTGGGAATGGAAAATCATGCCTGGTGACTTTTTCCTGAGAACCTCTGGGAGATTTTCCTTTGAAGGTGGGAGGAAGAAGTCGTTTCAAATGGAAGGTAGCTGGAGAGGGTGTGTTACCAAGTTAGAGACCAGAAGTCTGCTGGGGCAACTTTGTCTGTATGTCAGGGATTGTTTTCCAGCCCCCAGTACATTGGATGCAGCCATGAAACAGACAAGTTGCTCATTCTACTTGTGGTGGTTTTGTCTTGTAGATATGATGAAAGCATAATAGGACATGGGAGATAAGCAGTTGGGAGGAGTGTAATGTTGGTTGTGGATGTACACAATCACATATATCCTTCTGGGGGTGAAGGAGGAGTCCATGGTATCATGACATGGGAGGAGTGTCAAGGAGGCAACACATAGGAGGCAACCAGGCAATGGAGGCTGATAGTGGGTGGAAGGAGACAGCTGCAAGGTCAGCAGGAGCTTCGATCTTGCCTCTTCCCCACTCCATAGCTGTTATTGCTGGTCCACAGAAAAACTGACCAAATACCGATTTATTCTGGTCATGTTTTCAGTTGATTGATTCATCTTGGGTTTTTATGTAGATGTATATGGATTGCCAACCACATGTTCAGAGGTTCAAACCCACCAACTGCTCCTCAGAAATCCTATACAGGGTCTCTATGAGTTGTAACTGACTCAACAGAACTAAACAACAGCTATGTGTTTGTGTGTATATATACATGTGTTTATATACATATATGTGTTGTTGTTAAGTGCAGTGGAGTTGGTTCCAATTCATAGTGACTCTTTGTATATATTGTTGTTGTTGTGAAGTGCCATTGAGCCGGTTCTGATCCAATGACCCTGTATAGGGTTTCCATGGAGCAGCTGGTGAACTTAAAGCACCAACCTTGCAGTTCAAATGGCTTTGCAGTCTGGCACATTAACCCACAGTGCCACACCAGGACTCTCTCTCTCTCTCTATATATATATATATATATTAGAGAGAGAGAGAGAGAGAGTGTACTCTGGTAGCATAGTAGGTGCTAGTTGGCCTGCTAATCTCAAGGTCAGCAGTTCAAAACTACCAGCTGTTCTGCAGGAGACAGATGAAGCTTTCTGCTCCTGCAAAGATTTACAGCCTCGGAAACCCTATACAGGGTCACTATGAGTCGGAACCAACTCCACGGCACACTACCACCACCTCCACCATATATATATATCTACATGTATACGTACATTTGTTGTTGTTGTTAAGTGTTATCAAGTTGGTTCCGACTCATAGGGAGGAACACCTGAATAGGGTTTCCGAGGAGTAGCTGGTGGATTTAAACTTCTGATCCGACAGTGCCACACTAGGAGTCTACATATATACATACATATACATAGATTTGGAGTCCTGGTGCTGTGCAGAGTTGCAAAGTGCTGTCGAGTCACTTCTAACTCATAGGAAGCCCATCTAGGGGTTCTGAGGAGCAGTTTGTGGCTTTGAACTGCCTACTTGTGCTTAAAACTGACTGTGGTCCAGTGCATTATCCTGCAGTGCCTCACCAAGACTCTCTCTCTATTATATATATAACTGGTTACTAGATTTGCATCAGATAGATGGTTTCTGAAAATATTTTCTCAGTCTGTAACTTGTCATTTCACTTTTTTTGGCAAAGGTTTTTGAAGAAAAATGTTTAACATTTTTATGAGGTTCCTTTTATTTAGTCTTTAGCTGTTTGTTCTTTTGTTATATTACACAATTTATTGTTAAAAGCTATACTTAACAGCATTAGCCCTGAATTTTCTAGGAATGTTATGGTATTAATTTTCACATTTACCTCCTTAACCTATTTTTAATGTGTTTTTGTGTGTGGTGTGAGGCATGGATCTCATTTTCCTGCATGTGGAACTCCACTTTTCCCAGCACCATTTATTAATGAGGCTCTTCTTTATCCATCAAGTGACTTATTAGCATTCTTGTGACTATCAGTCTGTAGGTTTATTTCTTGACTCTCAATTCTGTATCTATTGTTATAGAGAGTCCTGGTGTAGTGCCATAGGATAAGCACTGAATCACAAAGTCGGTTTGAACCACAAGGTCCATGGTTCAAACTCACTACCTGCTTCTCAGAAACCCTGTACACTGTGAGTTGGAACCGGTCAGAAATTCTAAGTCCTCCTACTTGGTTCTTCTCTTTCAGTGTTACTTTACTATTGTGGACCTCTTGCCATTCCCTATAAAGTTGAG